AACCTTTATAAAAATAGGAAAGTTTTTTTGTTTTCTTTACTGAATAGTGTTAAAGAAGGAATGTTTTAAGAGTCAGCGCATCCCAAATTTCTCTTCTAGGTGCATGAACTGCCTTTCATTTCCCTTTTACCTGCCATTACTTCTTAAATCTCTCATGCCCTTCAGTAGCTTGCAGAAAGTGGCACTGGTGTGAAGCTGGGCTATTTTCCTGGGGAGTGAGGGCACATTYTGTCTTTGCAGATCTTGTCTTTGCAGCAGATTCAGGACATCACCTCTGAGGACCGGCTTCTGGTCCTTACCATCATGTTCTTCTGCAATGGAGTCTTCTTTGTGGCAGACGCCAGGTGCTGTTCTGTGGCTGTGGCCCMCTGACATGAGCTGGCAGAGCCTTGCAGGCCTTGATTTTGGGCTGACTGGGAAATACAAGGGTAATAGGCTYGTTCCTTCCACTCACATGGAAAAACATACCTTTAACACCTAAAGGTTTGAGGATTCTTTGACCTTTCTTTCCCTTCAAAGATAAGTGAGGCTTCTGAAAGACAGCAAAAATACCTAAAAGGAAGATGATTCACATCCAATATTTAAAGCTTCAAACACTGCCAAAGAAGGATCAGAAGGATTTGAGTGAAGGGAAGAAATACTTCATTTAGAAAACAGCCCATAGACATTTCATCTTTGTGACAGACCAGCAAAGTGGGTGTCTCCTGAGCTGGCCAGGGTGTCAGCTTCATAGGCCTGGTGCAGCTCTGCCCTGCAGCTGCTGCACTGTGTCTGAAATATAACTGGGCTTGCTCAACTTGGGTTTGTAAAAGAGGAAGCCTTTGTATCTAGTGCAGGCTTCAGACTTCCTTTTTAATGCCTGCCTTTACTTAAAAGAAAGCAGCAACCTGACCATTTAAATTGAGACCCCTGCTTTTCTCCTGGGCTTTGCCACAGACTTGTATTAGTGCTTTGTTCCCATTTGTGGATGTGGCTTCTGTCACATAATGAGGATGAACTTTTATATTGGGTAAAGCCTGCAGTAAAAGAARTAAAATTATTTTGGTAGTATTTTATTAGTTATGTGTAGGAAGCCACTGTGAAGTCAGGAAGAAATGTCATCAGCATGACAACTGATGGGAAAGCCAAATCAAGTTTAAGTAGCTACAAGATCTCTAAATAAACCTGTGAAAGCTGTTACACTGAATGACTACATTCTGTAAAGAATCTGAGGAAATCTAATAGAATTTGTGATTGTTCCTAACCAAGGTGAAATGACTCCTGCTAGATTGTGGCTTCAAAATATCCTTGGCCTCCACTTGCTACACTGCTTTTCAGTGCTGAAATCCTGCACTTGCATTTTTCAGTGGGAAAGTCCYACGATGAATTTCCAAACCACATGCAGAAGTGCTGTAAACTAATGTTGGAGATTTGTGTACAGAAGAAAATACGTGTTCAGAGCTGATTTGTGTGTTAATACACTGGCTTAAAAGCAGTTAACTTCAGCCTCTTTGCTGAAGTAATCGAATATCTTAGTGTATACTATGTAATGCAGCAGCTAAACTCAAAAGGGGGTGGTGCTGTAATGAGTGCTGAGATAACCAGTGAAAGCCCTGTACTTGCTCCTTCATGGAAGACACTTGCTCAAAAGCCAGCCATTCCTGTTTCACATCCCATAATCTACATCCAAGTTCATAGAAAAGAAATTTCGCTCTTCTGTTTTGATGAAGAGTTGTCACATCCTTTCTTTAAAGTCTGTGTTTGTCTCGGCGTAGCACCAAAGCCTTACTGCCTGCTCTGCTGGCTGTCACTGGGAAGCATTCCTGCCCCTCTCCTGTGGTCACTGCCTATATGGAGAACTTGTTTGGCTAGAGAGGGTTTTATAGAAACAAAAGATASAAAGATCCTTGTGTTTGCTTATAAAAGCTGTCACAGAATCTGAATATGTGGGGACATTCTGATGACCTATGGGTCTCTTGCACAAAGACCATAGTCAGGATGGGAGACTCTACTGAAGCCTCTCACAGGCAAAGTTGTTCTGGACAGGCTCCTGTCTTTCAGCTCCACCAGATAAAGCCTGAAGCTGACATAACAATATGGAGGCAGATGATGACCCTTCCTYGAACAGTACCTGTTCAGCTCCAATGGGGACATTGAATAAGCTTAATCTTACTCAGCTTTTTTTTTTAGTAATGACCTCCTGGTGACTGAAAAGCCACCTTCACTTTGCCTATCTTCCCCATTCTTCCTGTACACTCGCAGCTGGGATACCTGAGCTCAGCTCTGAGCTTTCAAAAAGGCAATTGCATGGCTCTCATAATTTGGTTGAGCTTGTGATGAAAATGAAAGGATGGCATTCACAGTGGTCAACATGCTGCACAAAATGGAAGGAAATAATCAGGRTTTCAACTTTCGTAGTGTTGCACTGATAGCCCCACCCCTCACCCTGTCCCCAGTCTTGGACAACCTGGGCCTTAACATTTAAGCTGCAACGATATTCTCTGGCAGCACATCCCTCTTGCCAAAGACACACTGGATTGAGACTCATAATACAGACTGTGAAACCTGAAAGTGGACATTAGTTCAGGCAGTTCACACTGAGGTGGACTTATGTGGTTCTTCACGCCCCAGTGCATACTCGCAGCAGACAGAACATTAAACACTGACACAGGAGAGCATGCATTTATTTAAGTCTGTGGGAGGAGACAGAGGAGAAAAACCCATCATCTTTATGAAGAACTTGGCATAATGCTAAGTTCCTGTTACTTCAACAGGCCCCTGTGCTTCTGATACACCTGGACACAGACTGGTCTGTGGTTTTGGTTTAAGTGGCACATAGCACACACGCAGTAGCAGATGAGGGATCATGGAGAAGCCAAAGGCAGCACAGCTACTATTTAAAATACCTGTATACGTAGGAGGGAGGAGGAAAGCAGTGGGTAAGAGACCACAATTAGAACATAGYTGTACCTAGAGAGGCTGATGAGTAAAGCAAATTCCCACATTCTTGCTGGCTATGGCCAATATTTTAACCTTTCTAAGGCAGAAGACAATGTCCTGTTAGCAACATAAGGAGCTTGAACGAAAGGGAAAGCCAATTGAAGATGAGACTGTCTTCATTCCCAGAAGCAAGAGAAAACTAAATTTAAACTAATTTAAATCTGCTCTTCCTGCTCACTGACTGTTCAAAGGGAGAAGTGGCAACTGGGCACAGCCTGGGCAGCCAGCTTAACCTGCTGGGAGACTTCTGAGCCAGCAATGAATTGCTACCCAGTCTAGTTCTTGCACAGCTGGTAACCAGTAATGACAGAAGCAGCTTACATGTGACCAAGTCTCCCACAGTCATGATACTGTGACCCAACTTTGTTCCTTAAGAAACAATGGGAAATTCCAGCCTCAATGACATTTAATCCATCACCTTGCCCAAAGGGAAGAGATATACAGTTTCAGCACAGCYTCAACAAGAGACACATCAAAGGGCTTGGACAAATCACTGGGTGGCCAGCTCCATTACACAATCACCCAGGTAGCCAAGACACTCAGACATCCACACACAAGTGTGATCATATTGTACACAAGCAACTCTGAGAACCTTCCAGGGAACACACTACACCAGTTACTCATTTAGTGCTTAAATAATTTTCTTCACACATCGCTGTTTTATGTATCTTCTCTCATTAGACAAGCCCAAGAATGTACTTTGGATATTCAAAGTCTGATTAGCCTGTATAAATAATTAAAAACAACTCACAGTAATGCTGTTTAAAACACCAACAGGGAGGACATTAATATTCCTCACTGGAGCGCAATGCAGGGTGTTAYGCAGTGATGCAACAGGTGGATAGTATCAGAAAGTGCTTGCTTAAAAGGTTTTGCACAGCAGTCAGCAGTCTTCACTGGGAAAACATGCATGATATGGGTTAACTAGCACACATGGGGATTAGGAAGTGTGACACACTGCAGCTGGGCTGTTCACTAGAAYGGTGAGGTCTTGTACAGGACAGACACAGTAACATGTTTAGGGACTAAGCAGCAGATATGCTTAGAACCACACACATGAAAGCATCCAAGTCCTCCTTTAACCACTTCCTAGGCTAAGCTCACTATGGAGACTCTGGATACTATCATTTTCCTTCCCAGACTGAAACAGCAACCAGGATAACATTCTGTCCYGAGGATATCTACAAACCGGCAGTTTTGGGGAAAGCACTGAAGTAACACACAGTTGCGAAGTGGCGCTATAATGCAGTGTACTGTTGGCTGTGGCTCAAAGGAAAGACAATCCTTTATTGTTAGTGTGCTATCAAGGACATTACCACATTCCCATACTAYGCAGATCCCACCCAAAGCACTGTGCATGTTTCAGAGGAGAGTTCTGAACTTTAAGTGGCCAAACAYAGAAGTGTGTTTGGAGAGGCTGGCCGAGAGCTCTGAGGGCATCACAGYCTGGAAGTTCAGAGATGCATGCCACAGACACACAACATCCTGGCTGAGAGGCCACTGTGTCCAGCTCACCCAGAAGTGCAATGTCAGTAGCTGCAGTTCCCTCCTCTGTTAGCCAAGGGAGTCTAGCACTGAGGGGTGTTTCATGCACTCACTACAAGCACAGAAGTGAGGGTATGACTTTGCCACATAAAGAACATCCCCTGTTCAAGGGGAATTACTACATTTTTCTACAAAGAGCCCTAAGTATTTAAAATACTTGAGTATTTAATTCTATTTGCAATATTGCTGAAGATCTAACAGAATCCCAGTGTGGTACAGAACATAATGGAATGTTGCCCACCAAAAGGCATTAAGCTGAACTCTTGCTACATCCCACCCCTACCCAGGGATAAGAGGTGTCTGTCTCATGGGCAGCCTTGGGGAGGATATTACAGCCCCTGAGCACGGTCCCCTGTACAAAAGGCCTGAAAATATATGTGCAAACTTTCCCATTTCAGACAACAAAATTCACCAGCGTATCTATAGTGAAAGAGAGTACTAACCAATTTATAAAAGCAGGCATCTACATCACACAATGAAGTAACAAAATACAGAGATTTATTGACAACTGCATGTTCCATCATTTGATTTCCAAACCCGTTCTGACCTGGAGAAATGCTCAGATCAATCTTACTTGCTGAGTTGAAAAMATTGTTCAGATTCCAAAGAATGAAGTGCAAGAAAATTAACATTGTTTAACTAATTTAAGGCCTAGTTAGAAATTGCTGTTTAAAAGACAGGCACTGAAGCCAATGCACATCAAGTATTAAAAGAAGCCAAATGATTGGTATTGCAGGTTAACATCAACTATGCCAGAGCCTGCAATGCAGGAAGCAGCCTCTGGTTGACTTTTCCACATGACAGCTTCCTGTCAAGTACTGGAACAAGGAACTGAAACAGAGAATGTATCTGAGACTCAGCCAGAGGCTAGAGAGCACAGACTCAGAAAGAGTTGCTAGGAAATACATGTTTGGAAGTAACGTAAGTTCATCCCAGGGTTGCAGTTTGAACTACTGCCTTGTTTTCCTCAGGGGAAAAATAACAGGCAGCTCCAAACCAATCTGAAAATTACAAAGGCATTGAAATCCCTACTTTCCATGGCTGTTTCTATTAGCACTGCCCCATATATTTCACTATTAGAAAAGGCAACTATGTCTTAAAGCAGTCACCCACCACTGCTGGCGCAAGGGAACTACATGGCCTAGGAAGCATTACAATCACAGAGCAGTTTAGCACCTGGCCCAGCACCCCCTCAATGGCAGCAGTTCCCAGGGAACCTGGGCTAGAACAGCAGTGGATATATACAATAAGGCCACTTGTTCTTTGGTGTACCTGAACAACCRCTGTTTTGGTATGTCAGATTTAAAAGGTCAGTATTTAATATTCTTAACAGTAAGAACCTTATGTTAACATTCATATATCAAAGCTCTGGATATGATCATAAAATCCACTCAGAGAACAAACCCTCACCCAAAAACGTCTGTGCAAAACATACACATCTTCCAAACATGATTTACAATAGCCACCACAAACAGAAGGCTTGTATTGCTAAGGCCTTTGTTTTTCCAACGAAGGTTTTTCCAACTAATCTACGGCAAAATTAACTACAGCTCTAGCCTGGGGAGAACTCACATAGTTCTCCCAACAAGAATCTGAGACAATCAAAGGCAAAGGTAAGGCTAACAAAATACAGGAGAATTCACTAACAGACTCAGCACAGGTAAAACCAACAGGAAATTCACTGTGATGGAGATAGGAGAACAGTCCTGGTTTCCATGGGGAGCCAAGTGAAAACCTGTACTGAAGCTAAGCCCTTTTTAGATAGACTGGGTCAGAGTGACCTGGCTGACACCTCAGCCTATTCTCCATGGTATCTGTAAACTTCAAGTTGCCTCTGTTCAAAGACTATGATAAAGCAGTCATTTGCACCCACATCTTTACCAGTAAACATAAAAGCACCTACATGAAACAGCATGTGAAGAGCTAGTAACAGTAATCAGCAGATTACTAAAGGCATCCRGAAGACCTGAATACCGGGGAGGGGAGGACCACAATCTTTACAAACATACGATGGTTTATGAGCAYAAAAGAAACCTTCAGCGTATTTTGTCCTTGTATCAGCAATCATGGGCTGCAAAGCAAGAAAGAAGAAAGAGGAGCAATGACTGAAGAAACTCCTAACTATGGCAGCACTAATTGTTCCAGGGGAACTTATTTATATTCACACGAATGCAAGTCAGCTCACGCTGTGAAGCTGCATCCCACTGCCTAGGGGAAACCAGCCTAYCTGCTGTACTTCAGAATCATCAGGTGTGATCTCCAGGCCCCTTCCCATTCACAAGGTTTGACATGTTGACTGTATGGATAAGCCTGACTCCACAAGAATGTCCTGAGCCATCACCTAGCTAAGAACTTAACAGTCTGAGGAACTCACCACTAAATAGCACTGATTTTTCTGCCACCTACCCAGGCAGGCCAATACTCACATCATCCAGAAGGCACCCATTCCCTCCCCAGTCCTCCCTCCCCAAATCCCCAGGTTATCCTCGCTATGTACTCTAACATGGTGCTTATCCATCTGCCTAAGAATCTATTCACACACAACAGATATAAACTGACCTTGCCAACACAGACAAGAATTTCTCCATTAGTGACAGTGACACAATGACCCTAATAGAATGCAATGCTGGATTTTCCCCCTGGCGGATTGAGGACTTTGTTGTGTGAGCGTGGCCTTGGCCCTAGTCGCGGCTCGTGATTGTCTATCTTGGGTTCTGGCTCCTTGCATCGCTCCTCTTTGCCCAGAGGTTTTTTCTCACCTCCATCTTCCAGATGTGGTTTGATATTTTCTGTAGCTGCATTAAAGAAAACAGATTAGATCATCAGATCACTCATTATTCTGTAGTGCACAAAGTGCCTCATTTTTCTGTGAGCTGATTATTTCCCACATCTTCCATCCATGGCACASCAAGATTTCTCATTATTTGTTCATTTTTCCTGAAGGAATTCCTGAAAGCAACAGGKGCTAAGAAAAAAAAATTCACTTTTCACAACAATTCCTCACTTCCTTCAGCAATCTTCCTAACGGGGATGTGAAGGCTGAGCAATACACCTTCAGAATTATTTTGGTTGTTGCATGCAATTAAGAAATACAATGTACCAATAAATAATTTCATACTGAGCTTGAAAGCAGGGTTCCCATCATCCTTTAACACGTAACTGAGCAGTAATACATTTTGTCAGTCAGCTAGCTATTATTTACAACTACAGAAGGCCAAAATTACYCATTTGAAGGAGATGGCAAGGGAAGAAGAGGTAACCTGATGGGATGTTTTGCCATATAAAGATTCCATACATACCCGAATATATACACATGGGATCAAGCAAAGTATAAACACAGAGTATCAGGACTCACACCTGTGTTTGCCTCAATAACTGGAAGAAAACCATTTCCACTAAGACAAGCAATTAAGACTTTTGACTAAACTTTTCAGTCATATTATCCTAAATAYATAAGACTAAGGCTAGTGTTTAAGCAGAAGCATAAGAAACTTCCTCAGAGTTTCTCAAAGAGAACAGAGAAAGGAATTTTTCTTGCTGACCTTCTGGATTCTTTGGTATTTCCTCTTCTTTCAAGACAATTTGATCCTGCAAAGAAATCAAAAACCATCTTAGTGTATTCTTGTTCTCAAACAGCAAGTCTGTCACAAAACCCTTCTGAAAGTTATGCTTTATTTCTGATCTAAGTTTATAGATCACTGATCAAGTAAAAGCAAGCTGTGTGCAGCCCTTCATCCCCTCCACTGCTACAGAACCCYAAAAGCAGAAGCATAAATCTTCTAAGTTATGGCAAGGTAGACATCTCGGACAATTCATTGGAACACAGATGAAGAGGCTACATTAGAACATCAAGACAGTAAGCACAGCAGTGCTGGGTTAATTGCCAGACTCAATTTTACAGGTCTTCTCTAGCCTTAAAGATTCATTGATTTTAAGGTTAATAATTTCCATTCCYGTCAAGCACCTGCTATCACCCAGGAGAAGTTGGTATAATACAAGCAGCCCCTGAAGACCCTACCTATATGCAGCAATTCCCATCTTCAGCAAGTATCCCAATAGTCAGGTAACAATCAAAATATTTTAAGACCATTTTCCCAACAGTCTCAATTAACTGTCAGAAATATGCAGCCACACTTTAGAGGAGTGTTTTCCCACCAATGAAACTCAACTTGCAGCAGTTTTTGTAAATATGCTGTCTTCTTTCCATCCCACTATCTCTCACAATTCCAATGTTACAATTAATGACACAAGAATTTCCAAAATATTGTCCTCCATTTAGTCAGGAATTCATGTGAATTAMAGTTATATTTCTAAAAAAGTAACTAAAAAGAAACAGCAACCATCCCAATAAAGGGGTACAGAGAAACAAAGCAAAGCCCTCTACTACGCCAACAGCACTACTCCTGAAAAAACCTAGCTCCCAGACTTATTYTTCCTCCTCTTTTCATATGGCCCCAGATACCACTCAGAATACGCATATAAAAAAGAAAGCACTCTACCAACACTTTAAGGGAAAAAAACAAAGGCAAGAGAGTTAAATTGGACTAATCCTTTCTTCCKAAGAATTTCCAGCAAAAACTAGACTGTTTTCAGTATAATGACAATTTCTGTCCTGGTTCTGGCCAGGATGGGGCTAATTTTGGCAGTAACCAGGAAGGGCATGGCCAGGACCCGAAGCTTATTCTRTACCACATCTCTTGGCAGGGAGAGGGGTGAAGAGATCCCTTCTGGCTGGCATGGGGCAGGGGTCCTTTCTGCCCAGTGGTGGCAGCTGAGTGGTTGAGGTAATGACGTGTTCTGTGTGGTGTGAATTGTTCATCCTTGTACACTCCGTTATTAATKTTGTTGCTGTTTCTGTTCTTATCTCATTGCTGTTTCCAGTAAATTGTTCTTATATCAACCCGTGATTTTTACCTTTTGTGCCTCCAATTTCCCTCCTCAGCCACAGGGGAGGGGAACATGAATGATGCCAGGTTTGGAGTGTTTTCAGTGGGAACACTAAACTGGGGAATACCATTCCTAAACCACATCAGTTTCATAGAATGTTATATTTTCGTGCTATCTGACATGTAAAAAACAGTATCAGCATAATAGCTACTCACTTATTAGTGTTTCTGCTCTTAGAGTAAGGCAGCAGGTTGTAAACACACATACAGAGCACTTAAATACACTAACTTGYAATGTATCCTGCTTTTTCCAAACCCAGATGTGGTCATTACTAAAAGCAACTATTACCCACCTTTAAGATCAAAACTCAATCCTTGTATAACCTATGTGTAACAACTGCAATGCTATACCAAGAGATAATTTTGTCTATCACAGAACAAGTACATGCTGGGCCTGACACCATTGATCCCAAGTTCACTTTTTTACTGTTGGTCACTTAAGCCTCATTGCTTGCTGAAGTACTTTCAGGGTGACTGTAGATACATGTATTTAAGAAWGGTGAAGTGCACAGGCAGACCACATAAAGGTTTATGACTGTAGTTCACTGGGGTTTATGACTGACCAACTAGATCACCAACTTCCCAAGTTTGCATCAAGATCACACCTGCCAAACTGCAGAATAAGGAAAAATACCTCTTCCCTATCCAGTTTAAATGCCTCTTGGTTCTGTCAAGAACTCCAGCTGCACTTCACTTACAAGAAAGGTCAAAGGCTTTTTTCTCCTTTTTTCTTTTTTTTTTTTTTAAATGCACATCCACAGTCTAATTAATACTTATACAGAGACCTGACACACCCCAAATATCAAGCTATCAAAGAGATTTTGGGAGTAACTAACTCAATGTCACTCCATGCACATTCATTTCTGTTTTTAGGGAGAGCACAAGCACATGACAGAGCGTAACAGGACCCCAGAGCTGCTGGCTTCTTGGTCTGACAGCAACACAAGTACAAATACCTTGGGCTTGTTTGGGTGTGCTCGCACAATGCTGGGAGAGACAGGAGASCCAAAGATATCGCTTGTCTTCCCACCAGGTGGATTCATGCGTGGACGAGGCTGAGCAGAACTAGAGTCCTCAAAAATGCCACTTTCTTTTCCTCCTGCAAGGCAGTTGTTAAGACTCTTTTCCTATATTAGTTTCATTACAACATATTAAAAAACAAAAAAATATAGAATTCAAGGACTTCTACAACCCTGCTGTCTATAGAGTCGTTGGCACAGAGTTCTTTTTATTTGCCTAGCTGAAATCCTTTGTAACAATTCACCTGCAGATCTCAAATTCAGGTAACTGCTGATACAACTCTACAAAAGAAGCTGTTTCCTTTCATAATTTCTTAGAACCTCAACGTGGAAAGAATTAAGACTTGGAYGATGTGCTAAAAAATGTGAACATTCATGTGAACTATGAACATGCAGATCCCTGAAACATTGATAGATTCAGAAGTCTGAAGAGATTTGTTTTTCAAACCCATTCAGCATATGAAAATACAACATAAAAAGACAGATCCCAGTGTTCCAGTTTAGGGACACAAAACCATTCTGTGCTGCAATTCAGAGCCCAGTCACACAGAAAGAAGGGGCAGCTTTTACCTGGAGGGTTTGTTCTTTTTGGAATATTCTGAGGTGGTTCTGATGCTCCAAAGATATTGGATGCCATCCGATGTGGTCTGCTTGAAGAAGACAGTTCTTCTGTACTCCCAAAGAGATTACTAGAATCTCCTCCTGGGGGCTTCAATACCCTGTATCACAGAATGAAGAGCAAGATACAAAAGTTCATTTAAAATTTATAGCATTCAATATATTTGATGCCTYTCCTCCTTGTATGTAGCTATTCTGATTTTAATTTACTTTAGGCACTTCGGCTAGGTCTATGAGGTATCTACTTCTCAACAGCTGTTGAGAATATTCTCAGGTTCAGCACAAATATTGCCAACCTCCTGGTCAGTCAATCTGATCATTAAGCTATCTATGATTACATGGAATGATCCTAAAACTGCCACCAACACAAGCTTCTATGCTATCAGTGGTATTCCAGAAACAGGAGAGATGAAGAGAAGCCATATGACTGGTTAGGATTTTAAAAATAACCATTACAGAATCAGACTTTCTGCTAAACTGCACATACCAACTCTGAATCTGTGATACAATTCAAACCCATCAATGTTTAAATAAAAGCAGACATTTCATAACTACTAAAAATTTCGCTAGTCTCAACCACCAGTTACCATAATAGTTATCATATCATAATACTACTAATGCTGTAGTTTAGAATGAAGAGACAAAATACCAAAAAGCCAATTTTTCAGTGGTCAAGCTGCAAATCCATTAAAACCAAAGCTTTGCACCAGAGCATAACAAATGGATCTGCAGAAAATTTGGAGCTTACAACCAAAATGGTCTGACTTGTTGAAAACTAAGCAAAAGTCATGCTTGTCCTTCAGTAGTAATTCCACAGTTAAAGCCTATGTCTTGTTCAATAGACTACAGGCCCTGCCCCAAAAAGGAACCAAACTACTACTTGGGAGTGGAATCGGTGGAATTAATTGGAAAATTAACAAAAAAAAAAAAAAAAAGCCCAGAAAAAAAAAAAAAAAAAAAAGGACCTGGGAATACCGGTTGACGTGAGCTGAACATGAGATGGGTGTGGCCAGGTGGGCAAGACCTGTGACATCCTGGCCTGTACCAGGACCWGTGTGGCCACCAGGAYAAGGGCAGTGACCTGTGCTGGGCAATGGTGAGGCACCTCAGAGCCAGGGCCCCTCACAACAAGAAAAACTTTTAAGTGGCTGGACTGTATTCAGAGAACAGAWTAGAGCTGGGGAAGGGTCTGGAGCACAAGTCTGATGAGGAACAGCTAAGGGAGCTGGAGTGGTCCAGCTCAGAGAAAAGAAGACTGGGGCGGGACCTTCTGTTCTCCACAACTCTCTGAAAGGAAGGTGCAGCTGGGGAGAGTCAGGCTCTGTTCCCAGGGAGCAAGGGACAGGACAAGAGAAAACAGCCTCATGTGTGCCAGYGGAGGGCAGACTGGACATCAGGAGGAATTTCTTCACAAGAAGGGTTGTTAAACATTGGAATGGGCTGTCCAGGGCAGCGGTGGAGTCACTATCCCTGAAGGTGTTCCAAGAAATGACTGAACATGGCACTTAATGCTCTCTGGTCTAGTTGACAAGCAGTCAAAGGTTGAACTCCACGATCTCAGAGGGCTTTTCTAGCCTTAATGATTCTGTGATTCTGTATWAAAATAATCTTTACAGTTACATCTACCAATTACCTACAGTCTTAGTACCTGAACAGAGATAGTAGCTCAATTATACTATTTCTCATGTGAACCCTTGATCTGGGACCTAAATTAACCTTTACTTTTAAACCAAGACAACTATTTTAAGTCACCAGATCTTGATCCCTCTCTACCTGAACACAACTCAAATGCCAGTGAATGCCTTCTCTGTCTAGCCCTATGACAGCAGCATGCCACTTCAGGAGAGCTACACCAAGCATAAAATGAGGCTCCTCTTGATGCCAAGATCTACTCCAGTTTAAGGTTTAATTTCACAAAAATAGAGATATTTGGCTCCTCTGTCAGAAAATGAGCTTTGTGTGCATTTCAGATCTCAAGAAAGCAGAAAGCAGTTTTAGGCTCTTTGGGAAGAAGGAGAAAGAAATTCCTCTTTTAGTCTGAGAATAGTTTATATAGACAGAACTAGCCTCAGAGGGACTCTTTGCTGGCCAGTTTCAATATTTTAATCCTTAGTATGACTGTGAATGTCATGAATGCATTTAGCTTGAGGAGTAACTAGAATTTCAGYAGACAGGACAACTCCTTGTCCACAGCACAGGTTAGACCATACAAAGCTTATTTTATATAACTTATTTACAGTTTAGTGTCCAGCAGACTACAGATCCAACTATCCTATGTGCTCTCCATGTATCTTAGAAGATTTAAACTCACGATTAAAGCAGACACTGTATAGGTAAATCATGAATTTTAATCATTCACAATGGTCCAGAAACCATGAGTCAGTTTAAATACTTAAACTGAGGAGACTGAAGGAAAAGGGAACTCTACAAAAGTAGTTTGGGAAGGAGTCTCTGTAAAAATGGACTCCTCTTACATAATTTAAATGATTTTTAACTTTACCTGGTTTTTTTTCCAGCTATTTTTTTAACTGCAGCKGTTTTTAAAAAGCTGTTTATACAGCTGGAGTCTCTTACACCCCGGATTCACTCATTTATCATGCTGTTTGCTTAACACATGCCTTAAATGCATAGGAAGRAATAATAAGATAACTACATTCAGGGGTTTTTTTTTGGTTTCAGAAAAATTGCCAGTCATAAGAACCAAATTACTTCTCATTCCTGCAATGGATTTTAAGAGCTATTGCAGAAAAAGATTCTAGAGAAACCCCATTTTAAGATTAAAAGCAAAGAAACTTCTTTCAGCAAAGAAACTTCATCAAAGTAAGTCCAATACTGATTAATCTTATACTGTCCTCCTATTTTCAGCTTAGTATCCATAGWAAGAAAACTCTGCTGTTCAAAAAATTAGCCAGAGGTATCACTGGTGGTGCTTACAAGGTGGAAATGAGCACAAGTGACTTTTTCTGCCAGCACCACACAAAATAATGCCTTGACTCTACATACACAAAGTGGATTTACCACCTCAATTTCAGKAACTTCTAAAAGCTGGGAACCTTCCAAGCATTACATAAACTTTCAAGTGGCTGTGACACTAGGTTAATAAAATTCAAACTAATACAAAGTCAGATAACAAAGTCATTTACAGGAATTACCAAAAATAACCTTGAACTACAGCAACAAAGAGGACAGGGCTTTGCACTCATTCCCTTCAACTGAGTATGTGGGAGACTACAAAGCTATTTTATTGCTGTGTAACCTCTAGAGAACTGCTGGCCTCCCTGCACTACCACCCACTCAGTTCTAGAGCAGAGTGAGACATGCAGGTCCCCCACATCAAGTAAGAAAATCAGATTTCACCTCGAAATCCTACCAAATGAAAACAGMATGCTAAACTCGATAAGCCAAGGTGAGCTGCTTCAACAGAGTACACAGAAATTCAACATATATTATATAGTTACTTTATAGACATTTTAGTTTACATCAGTATTATCAGTTTACATAGAAACATTTTTGTGTCTTGTAGCCAGATATGTTTGGTCGTTTTTCCATTGGGAAGGCATTTTATTCTTTCAAACCGTGAAAAAACAACCCTTTGCCTTCTACAAAATCTCRATCTGCCTTTCTCTCCCTCCCCTCCAGTGGACCAGAAGTTTGTGAACTCGTCTAGARCAATTAATTCAAGAGCTCTATTCTGCAAGTTTAAAAGCCCCCTACTAATTGCTTTGCTCTCTTCTGGCAGATTTGAAGGATTTTAATTAGTTCTTCTGATATTCCCCCCCCCCGGCATTCTAACATATTTGAATGCCCTTTACTCATTAAGCCCCAACATAGTTTCTGCCAACCTATGGAAGGGAGGGGCAAGGTTTATCCACTACTTCAAGACACCTTCTACATATTTTTTTCCCTTAATCCTGTTTGAAAGTTAAACACTGAAGTTTTACCAGTTTTCAGGCAGTTCTAACACAGTAGGTAGAATTGCATTATCCATAAGAGATCCTCACTAAGGTGAGAGAAACTATTAGAAAGCAGGTATTGAGGTTTGAAACCTCAGGCTCTAAAGCAAGACCAGAATTCCTGGGGTACTCCTGCTGTGGGATCAAGAGACTCATGGCTCATTAAACAGCTCACTCACATACAAACAACAAGCCGTGTTATGCAGCCACGCTCTTGAGCTGAAAGATATCTGAAAGATACTCTGCGGTGGCTCAGAGGGGAGTACAGGAACACGGAGTATTACATTTCCGAGACAGTTAAACTTACCATTGTCAGCTCTTTGCAGTAGTTGCAAAACTGCTTACATACAAGATGAATCAAAGGTATGTTAATACAATGCATCTTTATACTGCACGACAGCAGAATAATACGACTCTGTCCTGCTCTGCTCTTAGACATGTAAACCCCTGTTTCATTTTGGAAAAGGAAAACTCCCTTAAAAATACAAAGTGTCGTTGTTAAAGTTGAAGAAAATAAAGCTAGGCAGTTAATTCGATTTAGCWGTTGCTTGCTCTATCACTGTAAACATTAACAGGATGGCTAGAAACACACTTGCCTGGACAATTAAGTGAAAACTTTCACTTAAAATCTCAGCATCATTTATTTCTAGCAGTAATACCCCTGTATTATGAAGTTCTCAAAATGCAAAGCACTTGTTTATAATTTCCTCTGGAAAGTTTTCACATTAGGAAGATTTATTTTTTCCTGCTTCCACAGCTGTTGGTGGTTGCTGCAGGGATTTGGAATTACGCTGTTTTGATCAGAGCAACTTCTACATACCAAGAACTGCAAAAGGATTTGCATTCAAAACTAAAGTTTTGTTCAAAGAATGAACAGAGTAAGCTTTGTCTTTAAACCAGGTACTTTTGCCCTTGATGGCTCAGGCCGTGAGTCAATAGCCAACACCTCAGAGACCACGCTGCAAATCCACTTAAGGAAGTTCCTGCGGGGCTGCCACGGGCTCTGGTACAGAGCTGTGAATGGCTTTAGGCTCTCAGGCGAAACACAAACACACGGCGACACACGGCGCAAGCTGTAAGACCACCTTTGCTGGCTATTAACTAACACGTTACAATGGTCTGCTCGAGAACCTAATTTATGCGTTAAACGTGGTTTCAAAATCACTATGAGAACAGACACTTCTCGGAGACTACACCAAGGACAGAGCATCCTCAAAAGTCTTCTAAAAACCAGGCTGTAGCTTGGAGCGACTGGAATGCAGGCAAACTTAAAGCATTCTTAGCCGTATAATGTCGAAACCCTTCCTCCTTCCCGCACGCGACAGCTTCGCAGATGGAATAATCACTGCACTCACGCCCTACGGTATTCAGAGTATCTRCCTTCCTCCTCAAATATAATAAATATATTTCAACTTCGCAGGACGAAAACAAGACGACATCTGCTTCTGCAGGCGTTTGTCCTGAATCCTCCGCCTCACAACTTCACAGAGAGCAGCCAGGGCCCTCGCTCCCGCGGGGTAGAGACACGGCAGGAGGTGCACCCCAGCGCCAGGCCCTTCTCCCTGCGCCAGACCCCTCCACGAGCTCCGGCTTGGGCTGGGCCCTGCACCCGTGGGGGCCCCGCCCAGCCCTGGGGCCCTCCCCATGTGCCCCAAGAGCGGACTCAACCCGAGGCAACACCGACGGMAGCGCAGTGCGACCACTCCCCGCTCACCCCGGCCCAGACCACCGGGAATGGGACAAGTAAACTGAAGCACGGCGAAGGCACCGGCCGCACACTAGCTTCTCTCCGGCAGGAGGGATGGGGCTGCGCTCCCACCCGCCGCGGCAAAGATGCCCCTCGGGGGGACCCGGTCCCCTCGGCCAGTGTCCCAGTGTCCACATGCCCGCCTCGCCCCCCCCCACGGCCCTCAGTCGAACCCCGCACCTCCTGCGCGGATGCCCGCCCCGGCAGGACTCTTTCCCCCGCCTCACCGACCCTCTTCCGCCACCCCACCTGGAGCTAGGCTTGGCCGACCCGATTTCGGCACCCTGGAACATGGTGGCACTCAGCAGCTCGGATCCACAGCCGCACTCCACCCGCGCCGCTAGGAGAGCCGGCAGCGCCGCCCTGCCATTGGCTGCTTTAGCTGCCTATCACAGTGAGCAGCCTATGGAACGCAGCTGACCGCCTCGAGATCCCGCCTGGCCGGCCAGCCTCGTAGAGGGAGGGAAGCTTGAAACGATCCGCGTCGACGTTCAACTTGGATGCAATCYATTGGTTGCAGTGCCCGTCCGTCAGAGAAAGTTGCACAGCCATTAGCTGAAATAAGGGCGGGGCGAGCCAGGAGGACATTTAAAGGGACGGAGTCGGGCATGGGTCTAGGCTGTTGCATCGCTGAGGAGTCAACTTTACMGCCACGGCTGGGGCCTTCTGTGGGGGTTTCATATCGAAATGGCGGTGCAAAGCAGAAATCAGGAGGAAGATCATCGTACGGAATAACCTCAGGAAGGACTTCGTAATCTGCTGCCCTCCACACAGTTCCCGAGCTCGGGGATACCCGAGTCCCGCCCGCAGCCGMTAGCCCCTCAGGCGCGGAGGGAGCGGTGTCGGAGCAGCGCGGGAGATTGAAGCGGCTCCAGGGAGTGCGGGCGGGTGAACAGGACGTGGAGCGGGAAGGGCGCTGCAGCGCAGGCAGTTTGCTCAGTTTTCGGTCCTTAAGTTGCTGAGAGAGCTCAAATACATGGTGCCCTCTCASCAGGGAACTGTGTCCTCTGTCACCAAAAAAGATGCGGTGACACAGACTGAACTCCCAAAAAAGCCGTGAAAAAYGTGCAAAGCCTCATTTACCCACCCAGGCTTCAGGCTGTAGCTAATGCCTGAGCGTATCAGTGGATTGTACCAGTGGAATAAGATGTGACCAGGTAGATGACTTGTCCAGCCTGGTAGCAGAGTTACAAGACAAACTAGAAAGACTGAGAAGTACTAGAAAATCACAGAGGGATATAGACTTGTGGCCCCATGCTCTGGCCTCCCTAGAAYAGGAGCAACCACCAGAAAGGAGATCCTCTACTCATCCCCAAGCAAGGAGCAGATATCAGTTGTGAAGTGAGAAGCAAATGGAGGGCAGTCCACACGTGGAGAAGCAAGCAAAAACTTTCTTTGCCCACCTTGCTTKTCCCTCACAATATCCTCCTAGGCAAACTTCAGAAGTGTGGGTTGGATGAGTGAACGATGGGATAGATAAAGAACTACACGAGTGATAGATCCCAGAGATTTGTGATCAGTAGTACAGAGTAAGGTTGGAGATCTATCACTAGTGGTGTCCCCCAAGGTTCTCTGTTGGGCTCAATGTTGTATAGCTTGTTCATCAATCATTGGATGAAAGGGCAGATGCCTCCTMAGCAAGTTCAGTGTTGATACAAAACTGGGAGGAGTAGCTGATACCTCAGAAGATTGCACAGCCCTTCAGAGGGACCTCAACAGCTTGGGGAGATGGGCAGAGAARAGCCTTTTGAAATTCAGCAACAGGAAAAGCAGCTCCTGCAACTGTGGAGGAACAACCCTGGGCACTAGTACAGGCTGGAAGCCGACCTGCTGGAGAGYAGTGCTTGCAAAGAAGGACTTTGGTGTCCTGGTGCACAGCTATCCATCTCTGACCAGCTGCGTGACTTGGAGCCAAGAAGGCCAGTGTTGTCCTGGCCTTAGAAAGGGTATTGCCAGCAGGTYGAGGGACATGATCCTGCCCTCAACTCAGCCCTGGTGAAGCCACGTTTGGAGCATTGTGTACAGATCTGGGCCCCACAGTACAGGAGAGATATGGAGCTCCTGGAATAGTTCTAGCAGAGTGCTACTAAGTCAGTYAAGGGTCTGGAGAATCTCTTATGAGGAAAAGCTGAGGGAGCTGGACCTGTTCAACCTTGAGAAGAGATGGCTGAGAAGGGGCCTCATTAATGTGTATAAATATCTAAAGGGTGGGTATCAAGAGGATGGRCCAGGCTTTTCTCTCTGCTATCAGCCAATAGAACAAGAGGCAAAGGCAGAAACTGATGCCCAGGAAGTTYGAYCTGAACATGAGGAAGAACTTCTTCACTGTGCAGTGGCTGAACAYTGAACAGGCTGCCCAGAGAGGGGGTGGAGGTTTCCTCACTGGAGACATTGCTTCTGGACACAGTCTYGTACCATATGCTCTGGGATTACCTTGAGCAGGGAAATGGGATCAGATGACCCACTGTGGTCCCTTCCAACCTGATCAATTCTGTGATTGTTGTGTGTCGGGCCCCTGTGCCTCACCTGGCCATGTCAGTGTGCACTGGGGTCTGCCAGCACAGTGTTGAGCAGAGTCTGGCTGCTGTCATTCGCCCTGCTCCCTGGCATATGTCCATGGTTTGCTCACAGTTCTGTGGCTGAAGCATGGGGTGACTGTCACGTGAAAGCCACTGGCTGCCTGGAGAATGTGCACTGGGAGATGGTAAAGCTGTACCYGCAGAGCCAGTATTTGAATGGCCTTTTCAACCATTTTTCATTGACTGTAACATTGCAAGCTAACATTTTTCAGCTGAAGGTTTTATTTCAGAGCTCTGAAGCTTTTCATATGTCAAGAAGTAAATATAGAGGTATAAATTTAGTAAACTGCTACATTTGTTTTGAAGAACTAAAAAAAACAAATCAAATAAAGCCAACAAAAAAACACGAAAAGTATGTACTCTCACTGCAGTTTCTTGTTTTGCTAATATTTTTTGGACTCATTCCTTCTGTTTTCAGTCTTAAATTTTGGTCATTAAGGGCAAAATTARCTAATTTGTGAGAGAAGATTCAGCCACCTTTGACATAAGGTGGAAAAGATTTAAAGGTCTCTTATGCTGACAAAGGTTCACAGCCAATGGAGGGGAGAAGATGCACAGAAAGAGCTCAAACTTGGTCATAGCCCAATTTTCTCARTAAACATGTAGGAGAGACAGGTATTCATATTTTGGATGGGAAGTATGAAAATATTACTAGTAAAATTAATGTTGAGCTTTTTAGAACATTCTTTGTTTCTTATCAAGAACACACTTGCACTTTCTCAGTGCAACATTAAAGCTCCTTTTTCTATGTGAGAGACCAAAATCCTAAGAGCATACAAAAAGGAATAAGTTACTGACCTAGATCACAGGAACTTCAGGCCTTGAGTCTAACTTGCCCAAAGCAGGGTGTCCTGGGTGAGCCCACCTTTCTCTGGGCTTTAGCTAGTTTCATCTTGGAAAGCTCTGAAGACAGATACCATGCAACCCTCTCAGGGCTTCCTGTTCCTGAGTGTCCTGGGATCAAAAGGTATTTCTGGTAGTGGTTATATAAAACATGATRGCCTGAATAAAATCTCCACATCAGAGTTTCTGCTTACCTGAAGCTGTGAATGGGAAAAAAAMCCCSAAACCCCAAAGATACACACTACCATTTTTATTGCAGCTTCTTCCTGTTAGTGATTGGGATTTTTTGTGGTTTTCTTGTGTTTTTCTCTCTTTCTCCCCCTTGTTACTGGTGTCCATGGCCCCAGACAGGCTATTCACGAYAGACAGCCCTCTGGTTTGCTACATTTCTGAAACTCACCATGAACAGACATTACCGAGAATGGAAGCTATAAAGCAAAAACAACCCTACAAAAATTTTCTCTGACCAAGGTGACAATCATCACAACCCTGGGATGGGAGATGCCAGTGGGAGTTAGGCCACTGATTTCAYTGCAACCAAATCACCTTGGAGGGCTTTGCCTTATGGACAAATTTTAACCCCCACCCCCACAAGGCCATGATGATGTAAATAAAGTGTAAATGTAAAAATCTGAGAGGACGTGAACAGTAAAGAACACACTGGACACAAGTTAGACCAAGTATTAGTATGTATTTATGCACAAGAATAAAAACAGCTTTACAAGTTGAATTGGAAATTTAAACAGAGGAAGTTTAACAGCTTTTGTATATTATATTAAATAACCAAAACACCTTTTTCCAAAATTGGTAAAGAATAAATAATATAATTTACAGTATGGTACAAAAAATAATCAGTAAAGACAGGCATTTTGCTTTATACATACACTATATAGGTATATTTATAGTCTATAAAACAAATTCACATCTCAAACAAGCCAGAAACTTTAGATGATATGGCTTAACTATTATTAAAAGAAACAGCATTAAAGTTTGCTGCTAGAACCGTAAGCTCTAAAGCAGTTATCATGTTTCAATAATTAATGATAACTTATTGCCATAGTGCTTGCCAAGGTTTCACTTAGTTGCCAAGGTTTCACTTAAGTTCACTTAATTTACAAATTGCTGTGAAATTAACAGATTCAAAGGTTTGAAAAGGTTAAAAAAAGTGCATTACTTTCCTTATAAATGCATCCGAAGTTTGAGTGTAGAAAACAAAATGCAACTGAATTTCCACTCTGGGATCTGCTGTCAGTAAATGAGATGTCTTTATAGGTTAGATTTGATTCAAGCCATTTAATTCTATTTAGAAATAAAGAGGGTGTCAAAAGAAGGCTTAACAATGCYGTATAAAAACTATTACTGTTCCTATGCTTAGTAGGTTTAGTGATACAGGATAAAATTGATTGTGTGGGTGATCAGGATGCAACACCCAGCACAGAACTCTGTTAGCGTGTGCACACACATTGGGTGGATCCAACCTTGGGCTATGGTACTGCTCTGCACCCAGCCCACAGACACTGAATCTTCTGCCATTTACCTTGTCAGATACTCAGAACTGCCTTATGGTAGATAAGTCACTGAGAGGTAAAAGCCTAGAGCATTAATCCCATACATGGAGGCTGTTAGTGTCCATYAGTCCTCTCCAACACCCAGCAGAGCCCCAGGCAGGTACTAACATAACAAAGCTGCTCCTACCTCAGAAATGATACTGCGGGCATTTCAGTATGATGTACTTGGATGTCTGCTTAGCCTGACACTGTCCCTCATACCGATTTTGTTATTGCTATTGGGAAGCTGAAAGAAATAAAATTGAAGAAGTTTTGAGTATTACAACTCCCCACACACGTGCACATGTATTCATGTACGTGTATGTGTGTGCATACATCACCTCTTTAGCTGTCTCAGGAACAAACTGATGATGACTGCTATTGTAAAGCACACTCACCAAAAATATAGAGCTTGTCTGATCAGAGAAGTGTTTAAATGGCTTTTCATGTAGTAAGGGTAACAAATACTGCATCAATTCAGAATTACCACAATAATCTTAATTATTCTCAAGTTTTTCCCTTGTCCTCAAAGGACTTTTTTCTTACAATGCAGTTTGCAAAGCATTATATTTCTGAAATCAAATTCTGCTTCATAATCCAAATTTTAAGGGGCTAATGCCAAACACATTTCTAACCCCAACATTCTGAGTGCTGAACTGGTTTCTGTCATTTATACTCTGTTATTACTGGGTGGTTCAAACCCACTTGCAAAGGTTCAGGGTATTAGAAGTTTTCTGATGTCATGGTATCATAAAAAATAGCCATTTGTGCTGCCTTCATTCTGAAATTGTGTCCTTCCCCCCGGGAAATGAGTGGGCTGATTCACGCAGGCTGACAGCTTCTTTTGTTGCAAGCAAAAAGCCTTCAARGATCAGGATGAAGTGCTCTGCTCTCCACTTCTGCAACAGGTGCACCAACACTGGCCCTTATTCTAGGCAACTTCAGAGCCAAACCCAGYGTTACATCCATTGCATTACCAGCATCAGCAGGGAAGATGAAAAATTTGTCGAGTTACAAATACAGTGGAGACCCTCACATTAGTCTTGCAATATTTAGAACTTTAAGAATGAGATTTCAGATTTCTTTTTATACAGTACTTGATTAGAATGTAACACATTCCCTCCTGCATGTTCTGTAATCCAYAGCCATAGTAGGTGCCTTCAACTTTTGTCCTGCAAATCGGAAAGATTTCTGGAGACACAGCATATAGAATAATCAGCATTAGTAATGGAGGAACCCAAAACCAAGAGGGAACAATCTAGGAAGGCCCAAACAAAAATACAGCTAAATTTTAGGTAAAACTGAAAAGTTTTTGTGGGAATGACTCTTGAGATTAAGGGGTGTCTTCTCCATAGCAAGGGGGAATGCTCAGAACAAAATAGGTCCAGCATTCATTTCTGTGACAGCCTCCACCTTGTTCTATTCCAGGTTTATGTGGTTTCCTGACAATACTGTCAGAATTCTCAAAAAAGGCTCTGTAAGAATAACGAAAGAGAAATGATGACAGAAGGACTCAATATCTCATATGATGCACAGCCAGGATGGGAAGTCATCCCGCAGCTATGAACTTCTCCATTCTTCTAGRTATGATCTTCCCCTTGCTAGTGACAGAAGTGTGGCTCCCTGCTGGGAACATCCAACTGTACTTGTGCTGACTTTACACAGCTGTGTGACTCATGTTAATAGAGCAGAATGCAGTGACCTGGTACATGGGTCTTGGAATGTCATCTAAATTACATTCCTTTTTGAGTGAAATGGAAAGGCTGCTCAGGGCCACACAAAAGGTGCATCAGAAAACTTGTTCCATTTTCTCCTAATGACAGAAAACACAAAGCCAACTCCAGAGAAGCTARAAAACATCTGCCTAGAGCAGGGTAAAGGAACTGGGTGAACAGCAAACAGAGTCAGTGCATTGTGAGCAAGTTACAAGAGACTCCAAGTCAAAGAAATGCCTTCTACATGTAGCTAAAGGCAGTCAGAACAACAMCCACCAAGTACAGTGCAAGTTGGGAAATGAACCCATGATAACATGCTAAGGGAGGAGAAGGTTTGTTTATTAATAATACAAAGTTGAGGTTTATACAGCAGTCCCTTGGAAAAGTTCAGAGCTACTCACATCAGCCAAGGGACATCCTCTAACTGGAGAAGCAGGCCACTGCTCAAAAAAGAGCACAATATGGGTATTCTTGCTCAGGACMGAAGAGGAAAGGAAAGGGAATAAGAAAAGTCTCCTGAGTTATAAAGCTAGAATTGATGGACAACCAGCTCCCAAGAAATTAACACTATATCCTTTTGAACCCACTGGAATCAGGATCTGGGTTTTTCCTACAGTAAAACATGACATTAAATGCACAGGGATTTCAGAGAGGGAGTGCCAGACCCACTCATGCCTGAGAGTGACTGTAATGAAGAATGGTCAAGAACCTGGAGTTCACAGAACAAAAAGGAAGGAAGGACTCAGGGATAAAGCTAGGACTTGACACTTCTCTTCATGACACAAAACTGATTTCAACTGCCTTAGTGTTAACCTAGTATTTGTTCCTACACATTACAACATTGTTTTCAATTTCCTCTCCCAGGTAAATCCTCAGTCTTTGTGAAGGTGGCAATATTTACATGTTCCTAGCAAAGCCAAGAGTAATGATGACACAMCTTTCCTCGTGTAAGCTCTTTTGCCATGTTTGCAGACCAAAAGTAACTGTTCTTCAGGGAGAGCATTAAAGCACTCTCCCATTYACAGGGTGAACTGTGCAATGTGCTGAAGAATCTCAAAGGTTAAGAATGTGTCAGTGTTAAGAGTGCAATCAGGGTGATGGTGATGATGATGATGATTGTGATGTGATGGGGTATAAGAGCAGGGGATCCATGCAGCACGGGAGGAGGGTGGATGAGAGCTGCCCTACCAGAAAAAGCAAGCAGGTGTGAGCCACACAGGATTGGTCAAAGAGCCAAAGGAACAGAGTGGTCTGTAAGAACACAGCTCCAAGGAGTGGCTGTGCCCTGGACAGAGTGCAAGAACTTCAGTTTGACTGAATGGTAAGAAGACTGCCAACTACGACGTGTCAAGACACACAGCAGGTCCCCTACCAACCCTTACCCTTCATCTTCAACTTTTATGTGGATCCAAAAGCATGGCATTTTGATCACTACACAAACAATAATCCATGTATAGGAGCTTGTGGCAACCCCTTCTCTACTTCAGCTGCTTGCTTAGACCATTCCAAAGTACAAGTCCAGAACTGTCCCACAAACCTGCAATCTTACATCGCTGATGCAGGGACACGCAATCTCCTGTAATGTTATTCCATGTTCTGTTGTTGCCAATATATTGCACATTCCAGGACTTGCAAGTACTCCTTGAGACCTCTGAAACCAATGCTTCTCYGTTACAAAGAAGCACACAGGACAGGGGTCACTCAGCCTCAGCTGCTGCTCTCCAGTCTGCCCTCATCAAGTTTCAGCACTGCAAGCTCCAACTAAGCTGAACAGTCTGCACCAGCCTGCTGGTCATTCCCTTACTGCGAGAGATCCCCAATAGGGGGACCACCAGCTCCTCCATCAAACAGTATCTCCCTGCGAGTCGGCTCAGGTATCGACAGTTCCTGGGCAAGGTCATTAAAGCGAGATATGTAATCTATGCTGTTCTCATTCATCATACAAGCCAGCTGGGAATCCACCACCTGGAAGAGCCAAGGAGAGAAGAGGTAAGATACATGTCAGTGGCAATCTCACAGAATCACAGGGTTACTGAGGTTGGAAGGGACATCTTGGGAGCATTTTATCAAACCATCTCGCTTGAGCAGGGTCAGCTAGAACAGGCTGCCCTGGAACTTGGGCAGATGCTGAATTATCCCCATGTGCAGACATTCCACAATTTTCTGGGTTCCCTGTTTCCATGCCTGATTACCTCAAAATAGTTCTCTTGTCTTCAGGTGGAATTTAATGTGTTTCAAATTTTGCTTGCAGCCTCTTGCCCTGTGAAGAGTCTGGCTCCCTCAGCTTCATACCCAGCCTCTCCTCATATGAAATAGACACTTTATCTCACTTGACTGGAGTTAGAGAACAGCTCTTCTCATCCACAACTAAATGGAAGTTTTTAAAAAATGCAACCACCTATGGTCTCAACAAGCCTTACCTGCTTCAAATTTAGCATTAAGGTGCACAGGTAGATGATCTAAAGATATTACCTCTGCCACAAGAGCTGCTCTGCTGTGTCTAACATGGAGTCTTTACCCCATTTTCTTCTAAAGGCAGTTGGTAATATCAAGGGCTGCAATATCACTTAAAATCCATGCAAATAAATTACCATATATTTCTTTTATTAGAATGCACCTTGACAGCTTCTCACCACCAAGAGGAACAGAATCTTGATATTTATGCCAGAAGTGGATCTGTTTCAGATCTGAAGCTGCCAAGATTACACTAAATTGGCATGAGCTTGCTGCAGCTCCTGGTTACAAGGTCTGTATAAAACCTTCTTATTCAAGTCCAAAGGGCAATGGAGAAATGACACATTCCTTCCATAAGGGCAAGTCCCCAAGAAATTACAAGTTATGTAATGTTGTACTGAGTTATTAACTGTAAACTATGAGATAACTGAGACTGGAAGGGACCTGAAGAGGTCTCTAATTTAACCTCCTATTCAGAGTGAGGACAGGCCAGCTCACTTGAAGCTTTATTGATGTCAGCCCTGGAAAGCTCTGAAGACACACTGCCTAACATCTCTGGGCAACCTGTTTCCTTGCCTGCCTATCCTCAGAGAGGAGGTTTTATACAGATGTAGCAGAACCTTTCTCAGTTCAGCTTTTGCTTGTTTCTGTCACCCCCCCATCACCCCTCTAAAGCGCTTGGCTACATCTTCTCAATGACCCTACTGCAGGCATTGGCAGGCAGTAAGGTTCCTCCCACCCTGAAGCCTTTCCTAGTTTGAACAAGCCCAGACATCACCCTTTCTTCACCACGTGATCCTCCTGATGAACCTCAACTGAACTTGATCCAGTTAATCTCTTCTATATATATATACTGGGTGCTCAAAACTGGTCACAATATTCTAGACATTGTTGCACAGCAGGGTAAGCTTTACTATTCTACAGAGTAGAGGACATTAATCATTTCGTTCAATATCCTGGCCATGCTCCTGTTAAAAACAGCTCATGACATTGTTGGCCACCTTCGGTGGCACAGACCACCCTGGCTCATGCTCAGCTCTTGTCTATTGGTGTACCCAGGTAAAGCAGAGCTGCTTTCCAGACAGCCAGTTCCCAGCTGATACTGCTATGGAGTTATTCCTTCCTTGAGCAGGACCTTGCAATTTCCTTGCTATGCTGCATAGTGCTCCTACAGCATTTTCTTTCTGTCTGTCCCTCTGAAAAGAAGCTGTGTCCTTAAGTGTGTCACACAGCCTTAAAAACTGCTGGGCTTCTTTCTAACCCTTCGAAAGAGTTCAAAACAGAGGGATAGCTCTGCCAACAGAGACAGTAACTCAGTAGCACAGACCTTCTGCCACCCTTTTAGGTGACTTGATATTAGCCACCTCCTGCTTCTTCCTTCTGGACCTACTTATTTTTTCCTACCAGGCCTCCAACTGTATTGTAGCTGCATCACTATTAACCTTTCTCTTATTTTTAACACTTTCAGTTCCGGCTCTACAAAGCAGGACACACAAAACGGAAGGATTGAATCTCTCTCCGTCAAAACAAAGGTATGTCCAACAGGTAAATATGACCTCCCTCAGCAAAAAGAACCTGGGTTGAAGGCACTCACAGCAGCTGGTGCTGGGTACCCTCAGGTAATTTTACATCCTTCTGTTATGATTGTAACCCTCTTCCACTGAGCCAAAGTGCAGGTGTCAAAGCACCTCTGACTTAGAAGTATCTCAGCAGAGTCTGATAGTACCCAGTAACTGTAACTTCCAGCACAGCAAGAAGAAGCAGACTCTGAGTGCAATTTGCTGACATACCTCTGCCACATCTGCCAGGGACCGTGACACAAAGGAGTCCCGTGAATTTCCATCCAGCAGGCTGGGTCCCAGTAAAGAGGTGCCACTGGTGTTCCCAGCTGGAGTTGGTAACATTTTTCGTCCCTTCTCCGGGGAAATGAAACTTGCTGCAAAGAACAGGCCCATCAGTAAGTCACTGCACTGAATGTTTTCAATTGGGAGGATAAAGAGAAGGATAAGGAAATTCAAAATGGAGGACAGATATATATTTCTTCTGTCTTTTAAAAATTATGTATTACCAGCATGAATACCATCACCACACTGCTAAGAGCAGGGAGACTCATTACACTGGCCCTATGAAATATTAATTACAAAAAACCCTCAACAACTAAACCTAAACCAAACCCAATGAGTGAGCCCATGTCTTTGAGACAGTGTTCATCAAGCACACAACAAAATCTATTTTTCCACCAGCAGAGCCAAAGGCATCTGTTCATTTTGGCACAACAGTCCAAATGTCTCACCCTAACTAATTAGTCAGGCTCCAAACAGACTACAAAGAAGTGCCAAGGAATTACTTGTCCCAATCTGTAGGCCCCAATCTAGCAACCGGGACCTTTCAGGAACAGACTTGTAAAGAGAAAGAAAATGTACCAAAGTCAATGCTGTGGAAATGAAAGCAAAAAGTACTTGGAATAATTCTACAAATGTGCTACTGAGTTTACAATTTTCTAAAGGGTTTACTTCTTACAAACAACATTGGGTTGTTTCTTTTTTTTAACAGGAAAGCACTTTTTGGTTGCACTTCTCTGCATCTGGACACTTACAGAACAAGCTGCTGAGGGAGGAGTCTGTGGAGTCACTGGGGTACCACTGGGGGTCATGGGTGGGTGACGCAATCCAGTTCTGTTGAGGACTACTGGATGGGGACGGAAGACTTTTGGAGCTGTCACTGCCATTCAGTTTTGCAGGAGAGAGAGAAACACCTTCACCTGTAAGCCAATGCCAGGGATCACGAATTTAGTCAATGTGATAAAGTTACAGGACACTGCACCAATCTTTGTTTAGAAAGGAAAAAACTCCAAACAATAACCTTCCTGTCCCATATTTCCTAGAAAATAAAGGCCAGGCACAGAATTTTATTTCCAAAGGTATTTGGGGAAAAAAAAGCCCCAAAAGCAAACCCACAAAAACATCACCACCCAAGAACTGCTTGCTGGAAAAATTTCTGTTGGCATGTAAGATGACAGGCATTTTCTTTTAAGTTGATAGGCAGATTTTAGCTCATCTCAGACTTACTGTATTGGCCAGAGCTGATAGCTATTTCAATGATGGAATCACTGATCTGAGTAGCAGGTTCCCCTTGAGAAAGCACATCTTCAGGTGGTCCAGGCAGGGAAATATCCAAGAGAGCAGAAACATTGGGAGGAGAGAGCCGAGTACTGGAAGCTTCTGATGAGGAAAGTGGAAGGCTGGACAGACCATTCTGGAGAGAAGTCTTGGCCAGTTCTGGCAGAGAAAGGACTGATGTGCCCTATTACAAGAAACAGARTTAATTGTTTACAGATATATTAAGAACCCAAAAAACTAAAAAGCAACACTTCAGCTCTTGAGTATCAGATTAAAACCAGACTTTTAAGGGAAAAAATCCAGTAGATATTATGCCTAAATTAGAGGAATATACTATTTATATAATAAACCTGACTTATTTTAATAAAAAATACCTGTAAGTAAAAACAAATATGCTTCAGCCCACATCCTGCCAGATCATCTGAAAAAATGAGTCTGCAACATTCCAAAGAATATTTAAAATAGCCTACATAACAGAACAAGCATAATCTTAAAATTACATAATTTTGGTAAATCTACAAGATAGCCCCAAATAGATATATATTAATTTGCCTTTGTATAGGCAAACACCCTTTAACTGATGGAAGAGTATACAGATATTTGAAAATGTGACTGATAAATCACATTTATTCACTTTTTATAGCCAGACTTCCCAAAATTCAACTGATCTTTAAGGAGTATCATTACCAGTACCTCATCGTGGAACTGTAGTATGGTTTTTTTTTCTGATGTTGTGTATAAACAGCTGTCCTAAGAGCAAGAACCAGAACCCAAGGCCCCATTACCACAATAAATGCCTCATAGATTCATGTCCTACCATCTGCCCCATAAAAAAGTCTTAATTTCCTTTATGCTCGCCAGCCAAACTAATTTGACCTTTATCACATGCAGGTGTCACAGGGAGCATGGAAAGTGCTTCCACTGAAGAAAAGAAGGCTTAAAATTCTGACACCAGGCCCTGGATCCCACTGGAGAGAGAGGCTGGGTACAGGATGACAACAATCCTACAGTTGCAGCTGCTTTTTAAGTATCTGGCTACACCTTACTGAATCCAGCACAAACAACAGAGAATCTCTCGAAAGGATGCTGACATACAATCACACTTTTAGTCTTAATACTCCTCCTTTAGTGACATGGAGGCAGCAGGACTGTGAGCTGCTGAAATCTCCCCTTGTGATGTCTAAAGTACACGCACAGATATAGCAGAGCAATTGTAAACTCCTCCACTCTTGAGAAATATGTAAAGCCTATTTATCCTTCACAGGTCAGGGACTGTCAGCTTCACTCTGATTTTAGGGAATGGCACACATACAGACACACTTGAGCAGCTTTCCTAAAATTCTTTAACTTCTTCAGATGCTGGGAATTTCACTTCCACCAGACAGTACCAGTAGTCCACAATTACCTGGGAATATGGAGTTTTAACTAGCAATASCAGTGATATTTGCACAGAACATTACCCACTCCAGAGCAGCGTTTGTTCAGCACACACTGTACCTGGAAGCCATCCTGCTTGGGCCGAGCTGGCAGGCTGATGTACGGCACCCGGCACCCTGGGCCTGAGCCCTGCAATCACAACATAAGCCACATGAGTGACCAGATGGAGAGGGAAGAGATATGGGCCTATCACCAGTTATCTGTGCTCTTCATACATCTCACATCTTTCAAAACTGTCCATCAACTCCCAGAGAACATGACATGGATTGACATGGACTAACATGTATCTGGTCTGTGCACCAAGGGTAACATTGCAGTTTCCATTCCAAATACAATCCCTAAAAGTCCATGTTTTGCCCCAGATTCCCTCCTGGATTTCTGAAACAGGATGGAAATTGGTTCAATGAGATGATGATTTGATCCCTCAACCCCAAATACACACTACACAACACAGACTGGGTGTGCCATGACAGCAGTGTCCAACAGCAAGTCCCAGGAGAAAGTTCACTGAGGAGTGATAATAATACAGTTTTTTTATAAGATGAAAGAGCAAGACAGATAAGCATTAGAAAAAAATCTCATGTAAGAGCCTCTGACCTCCACAGTGGTGATGGAGCCTCCGTTCCGATGTGCTACTGCTGGCTCCTGCCCTGTTACTACTGTGGGCACTGCATCTGGTGACAGTGGAGACACACCTGCCAAACCATCTGCATCCAGGACAGGCATGGGGCTACCAGGGATAATGCCAGCACTTTTAGCTGCCAAGTCAATAGCACCTTGTGTGAAACAAAAACCAAAAACCACATTACAAGCTTCTTCTTCACTCTGTTATGATTCTCTAAAAGATGATTTTTTTTAAACTTACCCAGAGTCAAAACTCAACCCATCTAAAAAAGCATCAATGGTAATGATCTAATCAGCTGGGTCAGCTGCTCTCTGCACCAAGGGTAACATTGCTTTTAGCTAAAATGTTTAACTTTTCTGCCCTGTTCCAACCTGTTACCAGGTATATCAAAATAGTTGAGAAACCTCCCAGTTCCCCTCCCATCCTTCCATTTTTTTTTCTTTTCACATTTTTGTCCTCCAAATTGATAAGTATTTCACTGTGCAATTTCTAGAAATTTCCTATGGGTTACTAGGGGAGCTCTAGAACATCAGAGCCTTCTTTTATTATCTTGACTCTGGTAACCATGTAGACTCAACGTAAAAAACCTAAGTTGTTGCAAGGGTCAAGCTCACCCAAATCTTTTAAAATCCACTTTAAACACTGAATGTCTTCTCATCTCACAAGAATTGTCTAGGTAAAACATACATGCAGTCACTGTCTTCACCTCATTAATTTTTCTAGTTATGGAACCCACTTTCTGTTGCAAGACAGTATCTGCCTGGAGAACACCAGTATGACTTTTATTGCAAAATTCAAAATGACTTACTAGACAGATGGTTGGTGGCCTGTGTTGGAAGAACTTTGGGCACAATTGGACGAGAAACAGCAGCTTTAGTCAGTGAGGACTGGATTGGCCGAAATGAACCTCTCCCTGTGGGGGAAGGATTAATACCTTTCAGGCAAAAGAAATCTAACACCCTTGAAGCAGAACACAACACAATTCAACAGAGGCAAATAAATTCCAAGCAGCAGCAAGCTGCAGGAATGCAAGTAGCAGAGATGATGGAATAAAGCTAAAACAGTGATGTGAGTTAAGCAGTGTCTTGCCACAGACACGCAACAGAAAGTGCTGCTGTGCTATTGGAGCTGCTCCCATACCTTCAGTGAAGAGAACCCTTCAGGTCTCATGCTGGCTTGGATGGGGGGTCACCTGTGCTACCACTGTACTATAGAGTGTACTAGCAGAAAAGGACATAAGGGCAGTGTATTGACTATGCTTTATAAAATTCAGACGATATCCCGGGTATTAGGGAAAGTCCAACATAAAACCTAGACAATTATACCCTACAGAACACAAAGTCCTATCTAAGTATTTTATTCCAAATTTTTTCTCCCTGTTAGAACTCCTTGCTCTTCCCTGCTATCAATCTTGGGAAATTGAATAAAAATTTCTATCACAAGCATGACTTGCTTAACAATGACCCAGGAGAGCAATCCCATCATCCTGCAGGCTGGTGATACTGTCACTTTGAAAGGGTATTTTCTTCTTTTTAGAAATTACTTCATTATGCAGTTTTAAGGGACACTTTTCAGTCCACAGAAGTGCTAGAAGAGATGCAGACTCACCTGTAATGGATGAGTTGGATAAGATAGAAAAGGAACAGACATGCTGGGACGGATTTCCAGACGGCCTGGGGAGCAGTGTTCTCTATGTGAGAGAAACAATAAACCGGAACAGATTAAAACACAGACAGAGGGTAACTCATTGTATAAGGTGCAGAAGTTCACAAGACCTTCCAGAATAAGCAGAGTATTTCTGTGGCATTACTGTCATGCACCAGATACAGCGATGAGATCAGTGTGCTCTTGAGAAAAAAGCTACAGATAGGAATCATGTGTTTTCTCTGTAAACTACTAAAAGAAAATATTACCATACGGAAAATGCTCAAAGGAATGCTGATTAGAACTAGATTCCTCTCTGATTATATATGCAGTGATTTTCAAATCTCTCTCAGAATTACAGCAGTGATCTTAAGGATGGGACTTCGTGTGCAAACTCATCTGCCCTTAAAATTCAGCAAGCATGGATGATTGAGATAGCTGTGTGTACTTGGGAGCTCTTAAAAGACATGGAATTGCCCAGATCTGAAGGTCTTAGGATGAGAAAATAGTCCAGGGGTAATATCTGTGTGTCCTACTCTCACACAAAACRGAAGACAAGAAAGGGTATATTGACACTTGGGAACTTTGTCTTCCCCCAGTAAATTACCATTATTTAGATTTCAGATTTATTTTTTCTCACCTGCCTCTGGTGTCCCAATGGCATGTGCCTTTTCTCTGGGTTATCAGAGCAGTCTGAAGGAGGGTAATGCCTGTCTCTCATCAAAACAACATGACAATATGCCACCCCCCTTCCATACACTTCTTCCAAAGCCCCATTTTTTCTCAGGAATCATTGTTCTCTCAAAGTGTGGTATGGCTTATTTCACTAAAGAAGCTTATATCCACTGCAGTTCAACAGCCACTACTGAGCAGGAAGCAGGAAAAGGATTTAAAGGAAGATTTTGTTGTTAAGAGGGCTGCCAGCTCCAACACTGTCAGCACAGGGGCACACTGTCCATGCCTCAGTGCCAGAAGGCCCAGGCAGCAGAACCTACTTCCAGGACAGAAGCTTTCTTATTTTTCTGAATTACCTCAGGCACCGGACTTCTGCTGTTGTTGACATTCTTCATACAGGAATATAACATGCCTGGTAACACTAGAGACTGAGGTGTTTGTTCCTGCATAATTTCAGCTTCACATTTCCAGTGCATGCATGTGGGAAATTCAGGTTTTTATTTGTTACGTGCAAATCACTATAGCCTTAATGATACTCAGGGAGCAAAGCAGGCATTTACACTTTCCTCTGACCTGTACTACCAATGGCTTCCGCAAGTGCCTGTTCCGTAACTTCCGGGGCTTCGGCAGGAAGAAGTCCGACTGCATCTGGACAAGAACAGGAAATGCATTACAAGTATTTTAGGTATGCAGACACAGAATAAATTATACCCCCTAAATTCTTATTTTCAATAAAGTTAAATTTAAGAGTTGACTAAAATACTGTGTTTTGTTTCAGACAGCACAATATCCTTTCCACTAGAGTCAGAATATTTTCCACCAATAATGTAGTTTTTCTTTTTTTTTTTTAATAGAGATAAAGCTTTGTTCCCAAAAGCCATTTTACTACTTAACTACTGCAGCTTCCTATGAAATTTTTACTGAGATTGTGTACATAAAAATTAACATTTTACTTAAATACAGCAATGAAGCTGTGTTAAAATTAGCTACACAACAGAAGAGAATCAGTTYTTGCTAAACATGGCACATGTGTGTGCTGGAGCAACTTAGACAGCAAATCAGTTTCATTGGGCTGTGTGATGGCATTCAGATTTGAATTATCTGACTTACCTGAACAGGTAATGTTACTTCAGAGCCCAGTTATATAGTCAAAATCTGACTCACCTCAGTTAACACAATGTTAAACTTGAGCATCATACGAAACACCGCTTCACAGGGCAGCCCATGCTTTCTGATGAATCCAGAATCCCTGGAATACCTCCTGGAAGCTGGCTCATGCACACCATGCTGCACTTTCTATTCAATCATCTCACTTACACTGATAGTGTCCAGGTGCTGCCGGAAGGTCAGCTCTGTTTCCTTGCTGGGTAGGAACAGCTTCCCATGGCGGCTGTTGGGGGGGAGGGTTGTAGGGACTGCAAACAGTCCACTGTCAGCCTCAGTGCTCCCAGAACTTGAAGGACTGGCCACCAAGAGAGGTCGAGGGAGGTTTCTCAAACCTAGAAGATTTTAACAGTAATTTAAATGAAATAAAGTGAAAACAGAAAGGAAGTAACTCTTTAGCAACTGAAGTACCATAGAGAGAACTGTGACTTAAAGATTCTGGCTGTCACCAGCTGTTTCTAAAATCAGGAATCTCTCCAGATTTCAGTTGTACCACCTACAAACTGACATTTACCTRCATTGAATACCACTAACATTCACTTCCTTTAAAATTCTTGGAAGTAGGAGATTAAATGTRATTTTACTCTACTTAAGAATATAGAATTGAAGCCCTGTTTTCAGCCCCACATAGACCACAATAATGAATTTATCTCTTCAGCTTGTAGGCATACTTGAAAGCCTACCCAGTAAACAAACTTTATCTACCATTTCTTATGTAGGGCAAGATAATACAAACACAGAGACATTTTACAGTGTTTATGATTTATTTACACTCCCCACCCCTACTTTCCCTATGGTAATTGAAAGTACAACTCCAATAAAATCACTCTGGTGATGAAGCAGGGATCAATTCACCAAAATACCTTCCCAAAAATAGACTGTCCTCAAAATACATTTGGCACAAGGAAATAATGATAGCTTGTCTGAGTAAAASTTTCCCATTTACATTTAAGTTGAAAAAAACCAGTAGGATTTTCCTGTGCTGTGCCCACCCTTCAGGCAGCCACCTCGGACGAAAGCCAGCACTGTTAGCCTGTCACTCTGARGTATCCAAGATGTGTACCTGCCTCTCTCCATACAGGTGTTTTACAGCACCAGTTAATCCAATTAACCTGCTCCTGGGTTCACTGCTCTGGGCTCAGAGTAGGGGTGTGAAAAGKAGGGCCTAAGGATCACAACTGGTCCCAGTAACCCCAACACCATCACAGACTTTCCTAAAGTCACAAACATTTGGTGGCAAATACMACTGGGCTGAAGCACAGAACAGAAATTCTTGGCCTGCATGGCTGGGGCCCACAGGTTACAGCAGCTGTACCTCCTATTAAAGAAAAGGTAATTACAATCATTCTCTATCATAYAATTGTAGAATCACATTACTGGTTTGGGTTGGAAGGGACCTTAAAGCTCATCTCATTCCASCCCCTGCCAYGGCCAGGGACACTTWCCACTAGCCCAAGCCCTGTCCAACTTGGCCTTGGACACTTCCAGAGATGAAGCAGCCACAGCTCCTCTGGACACCCTGTGCCAGGGCCTCATCACCCTCACATAGAAGAATTTCTTCCCAATATCTAAGCTAAAGCTCTAGTGGCAGAATGTCACAGAAAATCTYCAGTATTTATTCATCAACAGATTTTACTCTGGGCATTTACTTGCCTGTTTTGTAAGCTGATACTCTTTGAGATMTCACACCCTGTGCCAGTCAGCTTGTGCTGGTTCAGGCTGGGAAGAGGTTTTCTTCAGTGGCTGGTATGCAGCAGTTTTGGATTTGTGTAGCAAACCCTGTTCCTAATTCAGGGATGCTCTAGTTACCCCTCAGCAGCTCTTACACAGGTCAAGACCTTTACTGCTCCTCACCCCATGCTGCYGGTGGGGTGCTGGGGATGCATGAGGAACTGGGAGGGGACACAGCCAGGACAGCTGATCCCAGCTGACCACAGTGATATCACAGACCATGGGGGGTCATGCTTAGTGTACAGAGCTGGGGGAAGAAGGAAGAAGCGGACATTCAGAGTGAGGGCATTTGCCTTCTCAAGTTACTGTTACATATGATGGAGCCTTGCTGTCCTAAGGGTGGCTGAACACCTGCCTGCCAAGGGGAAGCAGCAAACTAATTCCTTGTTCTGCTTTGTGTGCACAGCTTTTGCTTTACTTAAGAAACCATTTTTATTTCAACCCATGTTCTCTCACTTTTACTCTTCCAATTCTCCCCCATCCCACCAGAGGGGAGTGACTGAGCAGTTGTAGGGGGCTGAGTTGCTGGCTGGGGTTAAATCATGACACAGCTCCCCAAAAAAACAAGCATCGTCCCTAAGAGTGTCTCAGGAGAGTTCTGCTGGATTGTGAACCACATTATTGATGTGCATTGTTATTCAAGATTCAAAGCAGCACTGGATTTAATACAATTCTAAAGCAAATTAATATACATTAATGTTCTCAGACAGTGAAGTTCCTAAGAGTAAGAGCATTCCTCCTTCCAGTGTTACAACTCTGGGAAATCCTCATCATGGTGTGAGGTATTAACCAGTTGAATTCACCAAGTGGATTTTTAGGAATACTCACCTGAGGAGGTGGAAGCAGCACCAGCAGMAAAAGCCTTGTTGTTGCGAAGGGCAGACTGATTCCGTGTGCAGCCTGGACTCCTGGTGTTGATGGCAATCACCTTTCCTGGGGGAGTCAGGGACTGCTCCTCCTGAGCAGGCTTTATAGGTGATGTGGCAATGGAGCTCATCTCGGGTGTCTGAAAATGCACATTAAATGGACATTGTGTGCTGGTACAACAAATATATTGTGAAACTCAGTGTACTTCGGACACCTTAAAATTAAAATATGACATACTACAATACCTTAAAGTAATCTAAGCAATACCYCCTAGTGGGAGTGAAGGGCAGCTGAAATTCCCTTCCTGCCCATTTAACAGTGTTGGATATCACCAATACAATGTATTAATTTATGTTACAATTGGGTTAACACTCAATAAGCTTCACACAATGTGCTGGATCACCACAGGATAGAAAGTAAAAGAGAAAAAAGGTGTTGGTTTTAATTCAGCGTAAAACYATTTTCCATAAACTCCATCCAAGAGGGCTGCCCTGGTGGGAAGTACATCTGGACAAAAACATTTTAATTCTCTCTTAATTCTATCAGGTAGAGTTTGAATTTTTTCCCTTCCTTTTTCTTTCACACTGTAACACAGCACTAACAAGAGACACGTGCTTCAATAATCTTCTAGGCCTATCCAGTTGTTTTATTAAGTTGTTAAAACTGTTTTCTAGAAAACCCTCACGTTTTAAAGAACCTGTGTGCAATAATAGGCTTAAAATTACACTTCCCCCCCCCTCCCCCCAACTGCAATGCCACTTGCAGGTTTGTTTTATGCTGATGATTTTCATTCAAGGAATGAACCACAGCAGAGCTGGCTGCTTTGGTTGTTACAGATTATCTGGAGAAAACAGGAGGCATGCACACAATCAATCCTTCCTCTTAAAATACCCTGTGGCAAAAATATTATGGTTCCTGTCATTATTTGATGAAATGCAACTTTCAAGAATTCTACAGTGCTTTCAGTGAGGCTGTAAATATCTTCCGGGCCTCTGCAACATCAGTGTCACAACATTCATTCTGCAAGGAGAGTTTATGTTTTTCTAAAAAAACATAAAAGAAACAAAAAGAAAAAAGAGAGTAAATTGGTATTTGACAAATAAAAGGTTGCATTCCTTCTTTTTGCTGGAATGTATCATATGATACATATCTTAAAGTGCTCCTCTATTGTAGTACTATACTATACAAAGTAGCTACTTTGACTAAGACAGCTAGAGTGTGAGAGTGACAGGGAAACACATGCAAATCCTAACTGCTGATTCCTCCCCCTCTTCAATTCCTTTCCTCCCAAGTCTCAGCGATATCCTTCTTTATAGTTTGTGATTGTTTCATCATCATGCTTAGCTGTCACCTGTGTCACCAGAAGTAAAAGTAGATGCCAAAGAGGAGACAGTGTCCCAGGTCTGTGAGATGTCAAACCAAAAGTCTTTGCACTTTAAACAAAGTCTGTATCTGGAGCTGCATCTGAACAAAGATGGGTTTAAATTTATAAAATCCTTCATTCTATGTCTGTAGAACGAGAATCAAAATGAACTTTCGGGGGGCTAAATCACCAACAACAAAGGATCAAAGAACTTTGTGTTTGGGAACAGTGATACATTTGCATCTTGGGTGGAACAAGATCTTYAGCTCATCATATCTACCACAGGCATTTGAACAGATCTGTTGAACTCTGTGTCTTTTAAAAAGATGTTTTACTAAGTTTCAATTGGCTGCACTAGGTGGAATTGGCTGCCCAGGTATCACTGGRGCAGATCTTAAACACAGGTTACAAAGCACAAGAAGAAAAGCAAGTTCATTTCCTAAGGTCTCCCTTAAGGGAGTCCCTAAGGACTGCTAAACATCTSTTCTGGAGTCTGGGAACTTTTACACAAATAATCAACTGTGGCTGGTGCAGATCTATTGACTGCTATTCTGAAGAAATACACACTTTTCACTTCTCATACTTTGTGTCATTTGAACTACATAAACATTGACAACCCAAGGTTGCAATTTTCATGTCGAATATTAATCTCATCCAGGCTCCATTTCCTAGAAAAGGCTGGATCAGCTCATCTTCCAAGGTCCCTTCCAACCTGGGCTGTTCTACGAATCTGTCAATCTATGTTCTGTGAATCTGAGCAAGAACAGAAGGCACCTCACCTCACAACTGATCTTTCTGGTAGTCACATTAAATGTTCACTGGAACACCAGTGAGACTCACAGTGAACCAGAAGTTAAAGCATATAGAAGCAAAGTCCACTCTGTAAACAGCTGTCTTGTGTTGTGGTTTCTGTACCATTTAAACAAAGGAATCTCCAGGCCTCTTGACATGGCTAGTTATTGATTTATTGTGAACTCACAACTGAGCTATTATTCCCCAAATCTACTAAACTAGAGTTTAGTATCTGCAGTGTGAACAAGAGCTACTTACTGGTTTGGGATTGACTTCAGTAGAGATGAGTTTCAGAAGGCAGTTTAGGAGCCTCTGCTTGTGAAAGCTGGGACATGCAGGGACAGYGCTGGACTCAGATGTTTGCTCTCTAGCATCCTGAGTTTCTGGCTCCAAGACAGCTAACCAGTCATATTCCAGCTGCAGCTTGTTCGGTTTGCCCATCATGAGGTAGACTTCAGCCARTGTAAGGCTCTCAGAGGTTCGCAGACTCCATCCTTCTTCTCTAACCTGTTGGGAGAGCCGACTGGGGTCATCCTTGGGAGACTTGGTACTGGATTGTCCCTGAGGTGGAGCTGGAAACAAGGAAGCCAGCTTCTCTTGAGAATCCTCCATTACGGCATCTGTGATATCCTTGGTACAAGCATCCAGCTGCTGGCCCTGGCTGTGGCTGGCCTGAGTTTCACTTTTGCCGCTGCCAGGGGAACCCTCAACACCTCTCAGTAGCTGGGAGCAGGAGTCAGAGGTCTCTGCACTCCTCCTGCTTGGAAAAGCCACCAGAGGAGCATTATCAGCTGCTGGAGCAGAGTCTTTCCCATGCAGTTTGTCTGTGCAACAATATTTCTCTGGGACGATTAGGTCCTGACAGGACTTCATGTACCGTGGGAATGGATCCAGCAGAGAGAGTTCCTCCACATCAGGGATCTTGCTGCAAGCACACACTGTGCTGCATGAGGGCAGCACAGCTGCCTGGTCACTGGCCAGGGCCTCCCTGCCCTCCATGCAGGAGGCCACTGAGCTGAGCTTTTCCTGGTGCCCTCCTGGATCCTGAAGTCCAGAAGGCGGTTTCTGGACGGAATTAGTGATGCCAAAATTTGAGGCTGTTCCTTCCACCAGGACAGGCTCYGGGGCACCATCTTCAATGCTTGCAGAAACTTCAGCAGTAGGCTGCAAAGTTCTGCTGGGCTCTGTAGTGCTCTCTGCCCTTCCAACACCCTTACCTTCTGTTCCCCGCAGGTATTTCAGCTGTCCCCTTGCTGTGCCCTGACCACTCTGTATGCCGAGGATTTGGGCAGGGGGAAGTAAGTGAGAGTCTTTTGTGTTCTGTTTGCATTTGCCTGTTTCCTGCCAATGCACAGTACAGAAAGCCTTGGAGTGGACCACTCTGGCTACCCCAGGCAGCGGAGTGAGGGTACAATTCTCCCCTGGAAAGAGATGGAGCATCACTTTCTCCTCTGAGAAGCTGCCTCTTGTTTCTGAGTCTCTGGAGTCTTGAAGTTGCTGTTCTTCTAGTGTTTTACGCTAAAAAAGATGTGTCAAAGAATGTAACACTCATTTGTCCCTTCCAAAAAAAGCACCTGGGAGCCTRTTTTGCAYGTTTAAAAAAACAAGTTTAAAATAAAGTAGCTGATCATGCTCTCTCGTGTTCTCATGACATGTTCTCTATTCAGCACAGATTAGAGTGAACACACTATAATCAGAAATTAGGTCCTTTGTGGTGATGAAGACTATAGTGAAGACCTGCTACAAGCMCAGAATAAGCCTCCATTCCAAACAAAATTACTTCTCTCTGTTTCACACACCACCATAATTAAAAAAACAAAGCGCAACCAACAAACCCCAACAAAACCAAGCAAAAACTCAAACACTGAAAAGCAAAGAAGCCTCTCATGAGTGAAGCAAACTCTATCTTACATGCTCTTACATCTCTCAAAGTTTCAAGTGCTACACTGCTGTTACTTCCAGGCTCACAAATTAAAMAGAAAAGCTTAAATTAAAAGCCCAGGAAGAGGATCAAGACCTCCAAGTCAGGAGGACTAGGTTCAGAACAGAACAACTGTTAACTCACATATCTTCCTATTGCGTGAATCAAAGCTCAGAGGCAGGGACACCCTGAACGCGGTATGGCTCAGACAGTGCAGAGACACATTGCAGGTAGCAGCAGCTACCTTGACAAGAAGCTTAAGCCTTCATTGGTGAAACTGCACAAAGTGCAAAGATATGTCCTTAATCTCTATGCTGAAACTGGAAACAAAATTGTGAGTTATTATCCAGGCTCTAAGGGGGTCAACCACTGACAATGAACCAGACTAAGATCATTGGCTGAGGAAATAAAATAAAAGCAGGAATTTCATTTATTCCTAACTAGCTTTCACTTAATCATAATAGAGAAGATTTGAGGCAAAAGCAGAACATGAGATCTCCCATGAAAGCCTCCATTAGAGATGCTGAGACTGATCTCTACCTTTAATAAGCAGGGACTGTTATATTTATGAAGTAAATTCACTTTTACAATGCAAAACTGAACTTGGAAGGGAMTTGCTCCCAGGACACAGCACATGGAACAGACCGAGCAGGAAAAGGATACAACCCGCACTTCATGGAGAGCCCACTTCTGCTTCAGGAATTCAAGGAGGCTGGAGACCTTCCGATGTAACTCCACGATCATCCTGTATGCAAGAGAAACAAAGCAAGGGAACAGAGAACAACTGTCAGCAGGAGCTTCAAGTCCTAGCTTTGATGCTAGAAGAATTACRAAATAAACTGGTATTCTACAATGCCAGCACAAAGAACACTCCCAAGCTCTAAGAAAAAAAAAAACAACAAAACCAAAACATATGTTATCCCACAACTTTAAAATCTAGGTAACTCAGAACTGTGACAACTCACACATCTTAAAAGCCTGTCAGATAACCGACTGCCATGATTCAAGAAACTAGCTTTTTCCATATGAAAGAAGATAGGAAAAGATCGCAGGATTTAGCTGAACTGCTAAAGTGAAGGCAAGGCACAGAGCTACCACATAAAGGATAGAAAGAAAGAGAAAAAGGGGCACAAGACTCTTAAACATTTACTTTTAGAAAACCTTTTACTAAATAAACCTAGTGCAAAGAAAACAATGGATATTTTTATCATGATCTTTGGTCACTACACTAAAGTGCTACAGTTGAAGCAACACTCAACATCACAGAGGCCTGGTGTTTGCTGCTCCAAGTTCTGGACTAGATRGAAGTACCAGGATGAAGAGCCACTGATGACACAGAACAGCTGCACCAACAATGTTTGGGAAGGGAGAAGCTACAAACACTTTTCATGCKGCTTTTATCACTGGGTGCACATGAAATGTTCAGAGCCTTGGTGCAGGCATCTCTGACCACTGTGTATCTTCTTTCCTCTCTGTCTATGGTACATGAAATACAAATTTTAGTAAAACCAATGCTACTATYGCCATTTTACTTGCACTCCACTCTGCCAGTAAGTGGCACAAAGTATATTCATCTCCAAAGCTAATGGCTCCTTCATTACTCAAAAGATACAAAGAACAACGGTAATCTAATTTTCCCTTGTAGTAATGCACTTTTACAAACCATGTACTCTGGTTGGACAAAGACTTCAAACTAAGTACATTTAGACCAACTGCATTGTTAAAGATTAACTGCCCAACTRGCAAAGAGAATCCTGAAGAAAGGAAGGGACTAGGATGCTGCTCATCTGTTTTCCTATTCTGAGCACCACAATCAGTTCACCACTACCTAAGCCGTGGGTTCTGGGCAAGACTCTGTACTCGAGCCCATGCGTGGTTATTCCGTGGCTGCAACTCCACAGGGACTTTGAGAGGAAGTCGTACTGGCTTTTGGTCCTCTTCATCACTCACACCTGAAAGGAGATGAAGCACAAAGCGTCAAAGCAAGGACAACTCAAGTCACAACACTATGCTCGGTTACTCAATGAAAAAGATCAGGCACTAGCATCACCTACAGCTAACTCAGTCAGTTCAGCTTTACCACTGGAGCCTGCTTCCTTAATTTTGTTSCAATGTGTTCTTATCCTTGGACACTGCAGTGGTACTAGGGATTCCAGTTGAGCAAGCAGTGTCAAAAATCAGGTGTCTGGAAACTTTGAAGCAGTACAGTATTTCAGACCTTTGAACGGCCTGATTCTACTTACTTGGGAACGAGGAAGAAAAAAACAACAAAATGAAATCACACAGCTTAATGGGAGAAGCTAAAAACGTTGAAAATTATCAAAGATAAATGCTATATTGCTGGTTGATTCACTGACACAAGGGGCTAACCTTCACATACAGTGAAAGCATGATGTGCAAAGCAGTAGTGAACTATCTGGTGTGGGTATTTCCTTTTCATCTTAGCTAGTAAGAAAACTGTGTGGGTCCTGAAATTACCAGGGTTACACTACCAAACAGGCCAAGACAGACAGTACTGTGCCCAGGACAAACATGCAACAGCTGAAATTTCCCTGCCAGTAATGGATACACCAGAACAAGACCGTTCACTTTCTGTGCTTCCAACCATATCCTAGAACACCATCTTATTCCAGCATCTTTTACTCACCATCTGGATCACAGAGTTTCTTCAATGCCCTGCACATGGGAGCTTTGATACGCAGGTTTCTGCCTTTGTAACGAACAGTAGTAGCCCTGGATACATGGAAAGAGAAGTACTTAGAGGAACTGTAACAACAGTGCATGAATACAGACCTATCCATCTTAGGCCCTGTGCTCTTCAACATCTTCATATCTGACTTGGACACAGGACTGGAAGGGATACTGAGCAAGTCTGCAGAGGATACAAAATTGAGAGAAGCTGTTGACTCCCTTGAAGGCAGAGAGAGCTTGACAAGTGAGAGGACTGGGCAATCATCAACTGCATGACATTCCAGCAAGTGCTGGATTCTGCACCTGGGAYGGACAGACTAGGGAATGAGATGCTAGAGAGCAGTTCTGCAGAAGGGACCTGGAGGACCTGGTTGACRGAAAGCTGGATCTGAGTCAGCAGTGCCCTGGAGTCAGAAGGGAAATCCCTGTCCTGAGGGGCACCAGGCCCAGCATCACCAGTTGGGCCAGGGATGGGATTGTCCCACTCTGCTTTGCASTGGAGTGGTCTCACCTTGAATACTGTGTGAAGTTTTGGTCACCACAATATAAAAGGAAGATATTAAACTATTAGGGAGCACCAAAGGAGTGCAACGAAAATCGTGAAAGGGCTTGAGGAGAAGCCATTATGAGGAGCGGCTGAGGGCACTTGGTCTGTTCAGCCTGGAGAAAAGGAGACTGAGGGGAGACCTTGCAGTTGCAAGTTCCWCATGAGTGGGAGAGAAGGGGCAGACACTGATTTCTTCTCTGTGCTGGTSACCAGTGACAGGACCCGAGGGAATGGCCTCAAGTTGTAGTGAAGAGCAGGTTTAGGTTGGATATCAGAAAAAGTTTCTTCCCCCAGAGTGCTTGGGCACTGGAACAGGCTCTCCAGGGCAGTGGTCACAGCACCAAGCCTGACAGAGATCAAGAAACATTAGGACAATGCTTTCAAGCACATAGTGCAACTCTTCMGGATGGTGCTGTGCAGGGCCAGGAGTCAGACTTGATGATCCTTGTTGCTTCTAACTCAGCTTATTCTGTGATTCACTAATCAGGGACAGAGAGCCAAACACCATCATAGCTACAGRTCTGAGTACAGAAATGTACGGGTATGCAGTGCAGGTTCACAAGTGCATTTAGTCTTTCCTGTCATCTTACTTTCCATTGTGGAAGTGCTACTCTTGTGACCCTCCTCTTCCAGACTTCCATGGAACACTGTCCAACCAGGGAGAGACTTCTGTTTTATAAGTGCACCAGGATTAYGTTACTTTGGTTGAAAAGTACTCTCACAGACAGCTGCTTCGTAAAAGACAAGTGGCGTTGCTTTAGTCTTCCCTTTATACTCATGACTCTTGATTATAGGAAGAAAAAGTCTTAAGTTTTTGCAGTCTTTCATTTGGAAAYATCATCATCTTATCTGGTGCAGACATGAGGTCTAAGAGCTTGTGCAGAAAMCTGAACAAAATAACTTTTTACAATATGATTTTACTAGTTTAGCTTCGGCATCACTTTAGCTGTTTCAAAGATCTTTAAGAGCCAGTGGTCATTTTTGTTTTCACACAGTGAAAACTACTTGATTACTTCACTCTATCAGTCCTGTTTTCTTTTTAGGAACTTAAAAGGCAAGCATTGAGCCAAATCAAATTACCAATGATAGTAGTACTACTTAATACTTGCTTCATTAAGGATAGCATAGAAGCAGCTTGCATGGAAGCAGCAGGATTGAACACAACTGCTTCTAGTAAAATGAAATAAATGACAGAGAATATTCCTATGCAGTAAGTAAAACATCATCATGCAAGAAGAGCAGCTGTCTACAGCGCTAAGAGGAAAATTTGCATAAGGGCAACAGAAGTGAAGCCAGACCTGAGAAGATGCAGCTGATGGGGTAAGCAACTCAAAATTTTTAGTTACTGAACTGTGAACTTCTATAGATTTGGAATGTCCCTGGGCTGGAAGGGTAGATTTCCATTCAACACAATTCTTGGAAACAAGAATTGTTTGAATATAGTTGGTCCCACCAAGTCCAACAGTGTAAAGTCTCTGTCAGTCTCTGCCAGTGTAAAGACTCTTAGAGAAGGACACAGAAACCCTTGTGAGTATCTTACCAATAATTTAAGGATGAAAGGTAAAGCCTCCTCCTGGGTACCCTCAACCTTACCGCAAGATTCCATATCCTCTTGTATATATCCTTATATTGAAGTGTAGATGTGATTTTAACATAAAATCAGAATTTTTAGAAAATAAACATCCCAAAACCAAGTTTAATCAATTAGTACTCTTTTTTTTTTTTTAAATGTGCAAATAAACCAAGTTTCAATACAAGTGAGGACACATCAGTATGAATCCAAGTTCATGTCAACAGGGACTGCAATGTATAAAGACAGGAAACTTGACTACATACTCTGCTGTGCTTAAATTCAGCTGGGTCAGTGTTGGGACTTCTCTCTCAGGTCTGAATCTTTAGCTGGAGAATCTTCACTTTTTTCTTGAGCCCAAATTTTGTTCTCAGCCACCAGTCAGAAGCAGCTGCCCAGTATAAAAGTGCCTGGCACAGGTCCTGAAGAATTCATCAGCACATAACGTGTGTGCAGTAAATAAAACTCTAGCTCTGTATTACTTTTCTTTGTCCGGTGCTTATTATTATCTCCTCCGAGAATAGTAACTGAAAGAAAACAGCTGAGGACTAGAAGTCTTCAACTTTTACTACAGGTCCCAGAAACCCACTCTTCCACAGTGTTATGCTGAAGCAACACATCCTCAGGATTCACACCAATTACCTCGTGGTTTTAACTACAGGGATTCAATGAAGACCATATTTACTTTACTACCACTAATGCAGTCATCATAGTAAGTAATTTTACAAAGCTCACACTTAGTTAAGAGGATGCACAAATGCACCCAACTGCTGGAGAAGCAAAGTCTGGAGTGCGATCAAAAAACAACACTGCTGCATCAACATGCCAAGGCGATAGATCTGCCTTGTTCATGCAAGGAGTCAATTACAGAATTACAGCAACCTGAACTGGTGGGATGATTTCCTTAGTGAAGCCATGCCTGGTTGTACCYTCTGGTTCAAGTGGAAAACACGGTTTCATAAGGGCCTTGTGCAAAACACACTACAGACTGTGAAAATCAGCCAAAAATTCAATGCACCTTGGAACAGGTTTCTAAATTGGAAATTTACACTGTTTTAGTACAGCAAATTCGTTTGACTCCGCAAGTTGAGACTCTCTCCTCCTTGATTTTAGTTAATGCAATTCTTTATTATCAAATGTACCCTTGAAGCATGTGAGTGAAGAGTCAGAAACAGCATTATTATCATCATCATCATCATAATTATTACTTTGACAGGATACGGATACAAGTAAGTCGGGGAGAGAAACATATTTTGTATATTAATTGATAGGACCATATAAACCAGTCAAGTCTCGTGGAAATTGTTCCATCACATGAGTGGAAGGTAACTGAAACAAGGGCCTGGCTGCTCAGAGGCCAGAAGGTTTGATCTGCCTGAAACAGCRGAGCAATTTGTAATTGATCTAAGAAAATGAAGAAATAAGCAAATTGCTGTTGTTTGTTGTTCATTTTTCACATTTCCTATTTCTGTTCAAGAGCCCAGCTAGCTGGTTACAAAGCATTTATTGTTGAGTCAGGCTTCCTGGCAGTTGCTCCTGCTAAATTTGTCTGCCAACTGTGCAGGTGGACCTTGGGCTGCAGGTACCCACCATCTGGCACCATAGAGCAGCTTATAAAAGAACATGGATCAACATCCCAGACTCATGGCTGCGTGTCTATCTRTGCTTTAAGGGCAGAGGGATGAGGAAAAAAACCAAACCCCCAACCAAACTCTAAGATAGAAGTCAGAAAAGAAGAGTGAAAAAACACAAGTATATTATGGGAAAAATGTATTTGAAAAAAAAAACCAAAGCACACCAAAACACTAGAGGGAAAATCACACTGGAGGAAACCAAGCAACTGCAAACCTCCTCATAGATATCAGCAGAAGAACTAYTGCACTCCCTGAGCATGAGGGTAAATGGCATAGTTCAGAAGTCTGCAAGCAAAGTATACCATTCAGTAAAAGAAGAAACACCATAAATGTGACAAAACAACATTAAAGACTTCCATTCAAGTTTACACTTGGCACTACAGTACTCCTCCACTACTACAGCAATCAATGTTCATGGTTCCCTCACATATGTTTTAAAATATCCCAGCTCCCCAGACTCAGGTGTTGTTTCCCCTAATTCCCTTTTCCATTAAATATGACTAGCTTCAAGCAATCTAGGACAGAGTCTAGAGAACAACTTCTTATCAGACTCACACAAAAGTAGATATATTTAGACACTCTAATTTTCTAATTGAAATCCATGGCTAGGAGGTTGGAAAAAGACTTCTACAAATTTAAGGGGAAAGCACAGTAAAGGAGTCAGTAGCAACAAAACTACTCTTTGCTTCAAAATACCTGTTTTCTTCTGCTACCTAGATCCTGGATACCTCCAAATGCAGAAATGGGTAAGCCTTAGAAACAGTCACTCTTCTACTGACCATGCATTCAGAACTACCAGCCTGACTTGACACCAAGAGCATAACCTGCCTACTTAAAATGGTTTGGTTTATATATTATATCTTCAGTATGCACAGCTATTTTATGATCAAGATTTTTAGAGAGTTAGAGATTACCCCCTCAGCATGACAGAGAGCTTTCCCAAGGAAATGGAAGGCAGTGAAGAATCGCTTCTATCCCACATAAAGTACATTCAAAACCTGAACCAGACAGAGCAATTAATGCCTATTAATGGCTTCTGCCTTTCTTAACTTGTGCTATAAAGAGCCTCTCAGACTGGGGAGTAAACCCACATACACTACCAGACATTGAAGGGTGCTCTGCCTAACTGGTGCATAGTTACATTACTTCTTTAATTAGGTGTTTCCTGTGTTTTGTTTGTTTTTTTAATCTTACCCCAAATTGCTACATACTTACAAAGAGATCAAGAAAATATTTGTGTTTGTTCATATGCAGTTTTTTGTAAAATGTAAAGAGTGTTGCAAAACGTAAGTTAAACAAAGATGTCTTCCTCTTAAAAGTGAAACAAACCAAAAAAACTTCAGTTTATTTGAATTAGTTACTGAGCATATCTGCTATACCACAATACATCTTTTTTTCTTGCTATACATCCCAATCATGGAATACAACAACATAATAAATGTGTAATAAAATTAAAAATGCTGTAATAAAAACCCTAGCACAAAGGACTGGACAGAGAGTGGTCCTCTCTTTCAGCATCTGGAGCAGGCCAGTGTTGACCTGAGTGTGCTGAACTACTCAGAATAGCTACAGAAACAGAGAATAATTCTTAGTTCCCCCYTGCATTTATAAATATGTAAACTTTGATCTATTTTCTGCAAAGTTTCAACAACTCTTGTACCACTGGCTGTTGTCTAGTGTCATTTGCCTGTTACTGACATTCTGAAGACAAGTACAGAGATGTGTAACAGTGAATAGCCTTAATTCCAACAGTCAAACAGGGATAGGTCACACATAGCCTTTGCCAGTACTTCCCATAGACAGCTGATTGGAGTTTTCAGGCACTCCTTAGTATACATGACCTGACTTACAAGCTCAACTAGGAAGCTTTTAAGTATGGTTTTCTTATGAATCCCTCACAGGGTCATGTGTTTTTCCATACTCCRTGAAATTAGTACAGAAACCAGAGATGCAAAACAAGCACTGAATTAGAGCATGTTAATCCAGGGTCTGGAGTCATGCTGCAAATAAACTGCCAGGTCGTACCTCACAACTTTATCTTTTCTCAACTTTCTTACCAATTAAATGAGGAGAATGTTTACCTACTTAAGGAGCAGATCATCAGGATAACGCATGTTCACATTTCCCATTTGTAATCACTTTGGCTTCACTTTCTTTCACAATTTTTGTCAGTGACAAACCTTACAAAGTGCATTGCATTCAGAAGAAGAGGAGTGTCACACTTGAAAGAAACATTAGGAACTGGAGAAAGAACTGATTACRAATAGGGAAGAGGATCACAGAATTGAACCATCACTGAGCAAGATGGGAAGTTGAACCAACAGAGATACATGCATTGTGTTTACTTCTGGGAGCTGTGAGGCAGCYCTGCACGTGCAGGCTTGCAGACATCTAGGTCGCAATGAAGACAGTTTGCTCCTCTTCAACTGATGAGGTTTACCACCAAATAGGGTAAGAGATGCAGGAGAAAAAGGGAAGCAAAGATGGGTCTCCCATATGTAGACAAAAAGCCTATGCAAAAGCAACTAATTCTGAATTGGTTAATGTTATATACAGTCTAATTTTGGCATAGTAGATTAGCATTAATACTTTCAAATGCAAAGACTCTGGTTTCCAAAATGGTTGATTACAAGAATGGCTTTTATGGAGTAAACGCCAAGACTTCACAGAAATCAYTAGGCCTCAGCCCTAAGGCCTGAATCATGCAAAGAGATAGACTCATGCTACAGCTCACTAAACATCACCAAGCTCATTTGTTATGCTTTAGTTTGTTTAGATGTCCCARTATTAGAAAGGCTGCCTGCCCAGTACAGCACAGTGACTAAATCAACTGCTGATACTCTGAACTATAGAGATATTCAGGAAACTACACATAGAGGTTCATCCCAGGCCCATTTTAACTGGTAACACCAGTTCAAAGAAGTAATTTGCCTTAAGAATAATTCCATTAAACAYACTGTTCATATTTTCCTAATTGTACAAAACCCATACCAAATGGGAATTTGTCTTTTAATTTAAAACCTTGCAGTTAACAGAAGAATGAACAAGTGATTCAAGCATCACATTCAAGACCAGCAACCCAAGCACMCTGTACAAACAGCATCTCCCAGGAGAAGAAAGGCTGTTCAACTCATAAGAAACAGATCTAGAAACTCCGTTTGAGAATATGAAAAAGGTACAGCACCAAGTATCCATATTATGCAAGGTAAAATCAAAAGACTGCAGTTGCTGAGGGGGCGAACTCCTACTCCTGTTTTACTTCCTCAGTAACTTGTCTGGTACAATGAAACACTTTAAAAGCAAGAATGAAAAAGGCAAAATGGACCTGCATAGACAGAAAACAATGCTTTTTCAAATCACTTTTAAAGATGGGATTAAGGACAAATCAATGCCTCCTAAGTAATCACATGCCTTTTCCTTTGAAAGAGATTTCACTTTAAAACATATACATTCTAAAAGCTGAACTACTTTGGAAAAAATTATGCACAAATACRTCAGGTATGCCTTCATTTCTAGTAATATGCAGCTTCTAACCCCTTCTGCATTCTAGGAGTACACCAACTCATAGACTGAACCCCCAAATCCCACTGTACTCTCTTGAAGTAAAAGAGAACACTTGTTCTTAATGTCAAGCAGATGCAGAAGTGACTCAAGGSCTAAGGCCTCCAGTGTGCTGAAGGGTCATTTTGGGTCTGAAAGTCAGGGCTCATGAGCCCTACTGAGGCAAAGGGTTTGGAGAGGAACCCTCACTGGAAGAGGGATTCCACTGAGGAGCTGGAAAATGTCCAGAGATGGGAATGGAGCTGGGGTAGAGACTGGAGCACAAGTGTGATGGGAAGCAGCTGAGTGGGCTAGCCTGGAGGAAAGGAGGTTCAGGGGGGACCTTCTCACTCTCCATGACTCCCTGACAGAAGGGTGCAGCTGGGCAGGGGGGTCAGGCTCTGTTCTCAGGGAACAAGGGACAGGACAAGAGGAAACGGCTTCAGGTTGTGCCGGGGAGGTTTAGATTGGATATTGGGAAAATTTCTGTACTGAAAGTGTAGTCAGGTAGTGGAACAGGCTGCCTAGGGCAGTGGTGAAGTGACCATTCCTGAAGAAATTGAAAAGACTTATGGATGTGGCACCTGGGGACAGGAKTCAGAGGTGGCAGGGCTGAGGAAATGGTTGGACTTGACRATCTTGGACTTCAACCTACACAATTCTGTGATTTCCCTGTAGTGAATCCACACAATTAAGTGCTGTAGCTTCTGTAAAAATTTCTCATTTATTTTATTAAACTTAACCCATCATTTCTTACTATTAATGATYAATGGCCTCATGGAAAAGGGGACAAGAATCCTAATACAAAACAAACTAGGAAAGGAAAATATCAAACTTCAGCTCTAGAAAATGAAGAAATGCCCCAGACTTTGGATGATCAATATAACAGACAAGCTGCTGAACAACCCAGTTTTATGAGTTTCAGGATTAAGTTCTTACTTACCCGGCTTGAATGAGCTCATTGAGTTTAGCTGCATTTTTGTCATCCATACCTTTTCAGGAAACGAGATAACACAGTGAATTAGGATTTAAAGTGATAAAGCCATAGTCTTTTCTGTGTCCTGATGGGTTTTCAAAGCATCACATTTTATTCTCACATAGGATTAACATGCGTAAATGYTCTGCAACATACCTCTTCTGGAAAATTTGTATTTTCATAAGGTGCAAGCTTTACGTGACCCTTGCCACAAAAACTGCTTTTTATATGTGGATTAAATTACCCTAGTTTAGGTAATACCTAAAGCCCAGCGATCTTTGAATGCTGGGCTTTAATCTGAYGCTGCAATATTAAAAGAAAAGCTTCTTCCAGCTCAATCTTTGTTGCTAAGGCAGCAASGCAGAATGAAACAAAATCCCAGTGCTTAACACAACAAAAAGTAAGTAAAAATAACAAAATGCACATGCAACCCTCAATTCTCTCTATGCATTATAAAGCATGTTTTTAAACTGGCATTTTGGTAACTTGATTTATATGATTGTTAAGCCTAGATCTAATGAACAATTAGCCTTCCTCTGGCAATGGAAGAAGTGTTTTTGGAGTGCTTTCATGTCTCAATAGCTCTCAGTCTTATCCATTTTTGTGACTCTGTGAATACCACAAGAGAAATAAAAAAGGGGGGAAAAATGGAAAAAACTAYTTTCCACAGCTACAGAGCAGACCTGTCATAAATGGGTGCAGACTCTTGCAGCTTGAGTACATTTGATCTTGGAGACACAAAAATTTTCCAAGTGACAGTAAGTAAAACACTTAACCAAGTCCCAAAATTCTAAAAAGACAGAGGCACAGAGGCTGCAGGCATTGCCATAGTGACTCTGTGAAACCTTACTCCCAGTCATAGCAAGAAGGTTCTGTTTGTAAAATAAGATGTGAGTACAGGGAAGAAACACTGATTTCTGTTGACAGGGCAATGTGCCTTGCTTCTGCATCTGCTTTGTCACCAAACAGTTCAAAATGCTTCTCCAAACTGAATTAACATAATGGAGATCTTGGAATAAACAGAATAAAGTCAGTATGAGCATTAACAACAGTCTCATTCATTACCTGCCATCACAATGGTCCCGGGTAAGGAAATAACATAGCAAAAAAAAAAAAAACCCTTCCAAAATTCCACAATCCTTTTAGAAACTGTACATATTCACTCATGAGTGTTTTTGTTTTTACAACTAGTATGACTTCACAAAGAAGTGAAAGTATTTTGATGTCTCACAAATTAAAGAAAACAGACAGAAGAAGCACTATCATGTAACCCTGGCCGTCCAAAAAGCCTGGGGAAAAATGAAAGAATACACGGACAAAAAGAAATGTGGACATGGACTGACTYATACAGGGCACAGTCCTCTGCCCCCTATCCAAGCCAGTAATRTCAGAGCTCTCTCTGGTCTGAAAGCCATGGAGACCATGGGAACCATGGGGCTCATCCTGGGGAGTCCATGGGGACTGGGGAGAACCATGGGAGTCCTGGGGCTCATCCCCACAGTGTGGACAATAGGGCAAGGTAGGGATCCTCTGCTCTACTCAGGTGAGACTCCACCTGCAGCTCTGGGGGTCCCAGCATACAAAGTACTTAAAGAGGCCTTAAAAGAAGATGAAGACAGACATTTTAGCAGGGCCTGGAGGGACAGGACAAGGGGTGAGGGTTTTAAACCAAAAGAGGGGAGATTTAAACTACACATAACAAAACCATATTTTATTATGAGGGTGGTGGGGCACAGCACAAATTGCCTAGAGAAGCTGTAACCCTAGAGAGGTATTGAAGGCCAGCTTGGACAGGGTTTGAAGCAACCTGGTCTAGTGGAAAATGTTCCAGCCAATGGCAGGGCAGTGGGACAAGACTGTCTTTAAGGTCCCTTTTAACCCAATCTATTCTGTAGTTCTGCGAGCCTAAGCTCAGGTATGTTGCTAATGCAATTAATCAACYGCCAGCAAATAGCAGAGCATTGTCATGGCACATACTTCTCCATCTATGCTCATTGATATGGACAAAACTGGACTCTGGGATTGRCGAGATTAGAGCCCATCTTACTTAGCCAGTAAAGCTATTTCCAATTATGATTTGTGCTTTTTCATCTTCAGGGCACAGTGAGGAAACATTTAGAGAACAAGTCAGGGAAAGACACCATCCCAGATTTTGACTGCATAGGCACAAATAACTGTGGGTGTAAATGGTATCACTTACACACTTAATTGCCTAGGTTTTACTAGGAGCAGGACAGGTCATCTCAGCTTTGTGTATGTTTACCTATCACCACTGGGCAATACATGCACTGCATTCTGCAGAAAAATAAAACTGAAGAAGTCTATCAAAGTGGACTAATGCAACAGACTAACAGGATCTGTAAAAATAAAAATACATTTAATAAGGAAATAGCACCACAGATTACAGCAATAGTCAAGAATTCAGAAGTGGAACTGAACTGGACACTGCCAACTTCAAGGGTAGTAACTTCTGATTCTRTGATGTAAAAATAACCTGAAGTCATTTATACTCACATCCCCCAATCTTCTTCCTTAGTTCCCCATAGCAGATTAAGCCATACAGCTCCAGGGAAGACTTTTTCAGCCCTTGAGAAAACACTAGAAAGCAGAAAAGGTGTCAGTGAAATGCAGGTTGCAGATACATGTAGATACACTGCAGATACTAATTTCAACACAGAAAAAGAGAGGGTTTGTATTTTCAAGATGACACAAATCAGATTAAATGTGAAACTAAGTTCTGGTTCAAGAAACACTACAATAGGATTGGTTCACCAATTTCCTCTTCATGGTGTTTTTTAGATTACAGGAAAACAACTAAGCTTCCATAGAATTTAAACAAATACATAACTGCTCAATAGAAAAAAATAAACCTAATTCACAATAAAGCTAGCTGTAGTATCAACTGCTTACAAATTCTAAAGAAAATGTTCAGATGGCCCCAAGGAAACACATACAGAAGTCATTTATACAAATATTCAGAGGTAGGTCTGGATTTTCCAGAAGACAGAAAACATTTTCTGTGCACACAAACACACTGTAAGAGATTTGATGTAAACTCTAATTTCCAAATTTTCACACAAAGAATTGCTGACAYTTTATTCAATGTTACAAGGGGTTTTTTTGTCCTTTCTCATGAACACATATGATGTGGACATTACTGCCAACAGATGAAAAGATCTATGATARCAAGGACAGTCTTGTAGTTTAAAAATCAGGTGAAAATATTTACTCTTGTCTATTCATCACACTTTAGTTCCCTTTGATCTCAAAATCTAAGCACACATATTTCTACTACAACTAAAGCTAATCAAACTACTGAGCTGATTGTTAAATTCCTTCAACAATGAGAATCTACACCACCCAGATATATAGATACGTAACTTTTTGTTATCCAAAAAACACATTAATTTCTTCGGTGATACCTTTTTATTTTAAAAAGTCTTCTATACTGTGTTCACTGTAACACTGGTTTTCAAATAAAATACTAATTATTTCATCTTAAAGTGCTGCCTAGTTTTGAAAAAAGGAACTCACAAATACACCTTATGACAGGTGGTTCAGATATACAAGTCCTCCTTTAGGACTTTAGTTCATGAAGAGACTGTACYGTAAACTAGCTTTGCATTACTTCAGCTTGTGTCTAGCCATAACATTTCTCCTYAGTGAGTTATTTTTAGTAACTCCTTATTTTTATTTTTTAATGAGGTTTAACAAGACCAAGTGCTGGGTCCTGCATTTCGGTCACAACAACTCCCTGCAGMACTATAGGCTGGGACAAAATGYCTGGACAGTGGCCAGGCAGAAAGGGACCTGGGGTTGCTGGTTGACAGACAACTGAACATGAGCCAGCAGTGTGCCCTCGTGGCCAAGAAGGCCAATGGCACCTKGTCTCTATCAGGAATGGTGYGGCCAGCAGTATTAAGGAGGTAATTCTTCCTGTGTACTTGGCCCTGGTGTGGCTGCACCTTGAGTGCCGTGTCCAGTTCTGGGCTCCTCARTTTAGGAAGGATGTTGAAATATTAGAAGATGTGCAGAGGGGGGCAACAAGGCTGGTGAAGGATCTGGAACACAAGTGCTGTGAGGAGTGGCTGAGGGAGCTGGGGTTGTTTACCTTGGAGAAAAGGAGGCTCAGGGGAGACCTAATCATTTCCTACAACCACCTGAACAGGAGGGTGTAGCCAGGTGGGGGTCAATCTCTTCTCCCAGGCAACCAGTGACAGAATGAGAGGACACAGCCTTAATGCTGCATCAGGGGAGGTCTAGGATGGACATTAGGAAGAAGTTCCTCACAGAAAGAGTGATTGKGCATTGAAATGGACTGTCAGAGAGATGGTGGAGTCACTGTTTCTGAAAGCATTTAAGGAAAGACTGGATGTGACACTTAGTGCCATGTCTAGCTGGCAAGGTGGTTGTAGGTTGGACTCGATAATCTCAAAGGTYTTTTTCATCCTAGGTRATTCTGCAATAGACTGTATTGTATACTAGCTTTGCATTCCTTTAGCTTCTTCCCACATCCATTTCTCCCTGATGAGTTATTTTTAATTTGGCAATAAACAGTGGCCACAAACAGTGTAGATGAATTTACTATCAAAACATCTGCACCTATTCATTAGAGTTGCTCAAAAACAAAAAAAAAATTAACCACCACAAACTGCCATGATTTATGCACCCTTGAATATACCATCAGGACCAGAAAACTCTGGAGACTATTACTTAATCACCAAGCTAATGGGAGAACTGTCATTTTTGACACCTTAATGTCAAAAGAACTGAATCTTAGTAAAATCTGGTCACTCTGAAATACATTTCTTTAGCCTGTTATTCAGATTAGGCCATCCACAGACTAACTTGAATCATCTCTCCACATTCCTAARTAGTATGGATTTGATAAAAATCCATTCTCAATGATCATGTTACTCTTACTGTTACAAAATACCACCAGCAGTTTATCTGACTTCCCAATTTCTTTATCATTAAACCAGTTGCAGAAGGAGGAAGAAGAATGGGAAGGGGAATATGGCACTGGGAATTCTAAGTCATTGAACCAATGGTACAATTTCAAACTTCCATAAAGTGGAAGCAAATATGCCACCATTTACAATTGCATTGGACTGTTTATTTATTTCTACCTCYCTCCAAGAAATGCAAAGTAGTGCCGGGTCAGTTTGCTTGATGCAGCTATATCTGACTAACATTTGGGCAGATGTCCTTGAAAGGGTGAGTTCCTGAGAATACAGAAACATTTCCTTGAACCTGGTTTTGCCCCAGTATTAGTAGCAGGATCTGCATTTACTATGGTGTGGCAAATTCACAGAATAGCAGTGATACAAATACCAGGTTTTGAAAAGTATTTTTCACAAAACATGAACCTTGGTAGGGCCATGCTAACAAAAACAAGTGAGAGATTTTGGATTCCCCATTCCTGAAAGTCTCTACAGCCAGGCTGGACAGGGCATTGAGCAACCTAGTCTAGTRGAAGGTGTTCTTGTCCACAGCAGGGGATGGAATGGGATGGTCTTTGAGGTCCCTTGTAACCCGAATCATCCTGTGGTTCTATGTTCAGTATTTATTTCCTCACCTCTAGAAGATAGGACTCCAACCCTTGCACCAAACCCATTTTGGTACATACTAACCATTGTCAAAGTCAATGTACTTGGAGATCTTGTGCCAGGTACGGTAGTAAAAGTGCCGGACCTGTTCCTTGTTCTTCACCATGCTTGCTGGTTTGCCTTTCTTCTTGTATTTCAGGGCAATGTTGTTCTGGATAGCTTCAAAGTCCTTCCCATGCTGAAGGAAAAATAAACCAAATTGAAATAGTCAAACCCCTGACATAAGTCAAGTCAAACCATGTGAGGAACTTTATGGCTCTTTGTGGGAAATTGGATTTCAACGGTGATAATAAAAACTTTTAGGAATCAGAACTCAACAGAAAAAGAATGACATTAGTTTTCTTTGTTTTATATAAAATGCARTATAGATGCCAAATTAATTACTTTCCAACTTCTTTAACTGTTTCAAAATAAAAACAGTAAATTGCTAGCAAATTAAACACCCGACTTTACTCACAAATGTGTTAAGTAGCAGAACTGAAAACATTGATTTTCTCCCAGAGCATTTGTTACTTTCCTCTGCATTCCCCCCATTTCTAACTAGAGTGAATGAAAAAACATTATATTTACTACCTGCACTTTTATAGTGCAATTACAGTACATTACCTGTTACTGTTACTAGGAGTACAAAATTTGAGTTTCAAACCATTTGGTTTTATACACATTAACTCCTGCTATCACAAAAGTTTTGTATTCAGAAAAGGTTGGAACTAATTTAAACACAAAGTATGAAAACCTCTTCAGAAAGGCAGTGCCACAAAATGRACAGAAGGAGGGACTAAAACTGAGTCTCAGATCCACCTTAAAGCCATTTTTTAAACCTTTTCCTCAGTATTCAAAAGWAATCAGTACAGTGAGTTAAAAATTACTTGATTCCCAGGAATATTACTGCAATTCAGAGGAGTTAAAAAAAGAAAACACTGTTTAAGTTTCATTTTGTCCGCAAAATATATATGTGAACCATGCCTATGATGAAAAAAAACAATTCTAAAAGATGCACATGTGCAAAGAAAACTCCCCATCACTGCTTTTGTTTTTACCTTTGACATGCATTTTCAAAACAGAAATGCTGTTGAAATAATCACAGGAACAGGACAAGCAGGAATTCATTACATACATCATAAGAGACAGAAGATAAGCTAATATAACGTTTTCTTGTCTCTCAGCCTTAAGACTGAACTGGCATTAATTTTGTCATGGCCAAAGACTAAACTCAATTCCTATTAAACCAGAACAGTTTTCCCTGTTTGGTATTATTACAGAGCAAGTGTGTTAGTTTTGAAAGTTCAGATGTGGACATTATTTAACTATTTTTAATTTGAAACAGAACAATAATTCAGTAACAACTGAAATGATAAACATCCATTAATAAAACTCAGAAATGTTTCTTATGTATTTCAAAAAAACCCAACAAATCTGACACTTTTGACACACGGCTTTGACTGACAACTCTTTTACARCCCACTCTATGGCCCCACAAATGCTCATGTGTAAGTGTGCCTTCTGCTCTTGCCAATCTCACCTGAATCAACCTTCTTTAGGACTACCCAGACTTTAACCAAARCCATCTAACTCTCTTATTTTCTTCTACGTGTACCTCATACAGTCCCTCAAAGAAAGTGCTCTTGTCCTCGGTACTCCATGACTCCCACTGCCGTCGGACCTTCTTCCCTTCCTCCTTCTCTCCAGCCGAGGAGCCCAGGTTCCTTGCTGCTGACTTGGAACTCCCAGTAGGATTGCTGGGAGGAATTCCTGATGTGCCACCAGGTGCAGTCCCTCCATTATCTGCTGCTGTAAAAAACCATGACCAGAGTGAGTATTAAACCAACAGGTCGATCCAAGGATAGAAATAAGAGAGTAACTTAGAATTTTCTCCTTTTTCACTTGCAATACAATAGGCAAATAGAGAGGTTTGTTCACAGAAATAAAATCCCAGAGTGCAAAAAATAAGCGGAAGGTTTCAATGGCTTAACTTTGTATTTCCAGAAGTAACACAGGCATGTACCACAGCAGCCTCTACCAGACAAGCCTTTCTGGTGTTTACATGTTGGCAAGCTCTGCAGCCACTGTCCTGCAGCCAGGGGCAACTCCTGAGCAGCGCTGAACAGGGAGCTGACCAACCCAGCAAAGTCATGTCTGTGAGGAAAGCAGACTTAAGTGACATCCTTGTCTTTGGTCTTGATCCTACTGCCTATGGAATAACTGTGGAAAGGGAAGGAACGAAACATGTCCTCTATAGTTCATCACAAGACAATGGATCAGCATCTCCACAATCTGATTCCCAGTATATCTGTATGATCCTCAGAGCACCACCTCTGACATGGCCCATCTACGAAAACTCCAATTATCCAAAGGCCAGCAAGTCTTAATCCATTCTCCTTTCCCAAATCCTGGTGTGACTTTCAGAAAAAGGCATGGAAGCGTAATCTTGATGGCCCCTTGGTCAGTTATCAGCATCCAAAGAACATGGGAAAARAGACATGAAGACTGGAAATACTAAAATGAAAATAATGCTGTATAAAACTGAAAGAATTTGCTGCTTAYTCAAGTAGGGACCCAGGAAGAAAATGGGATGGAAAATCTACAAACCATCAAGCTGGGTTTGAGACCGTATATCAGAGTACTAATCTAGAAAATGAGGTCAGCTCTCCCAAATGCATTTTTTTCCAAAAAAATAAAACCATTCCCAGTAACTTATATTTCCAAAATAAATTATCTTGAACTTTATATAAAATTATTTAGGATTTGACTATCCTTATCAACACAGACATGTACTTAATAAAAAACCAGAAGTCTTTCAACACTAAACACATTAATTGCTCATTATAAAGAATGCTAATTACACTTTCCTTTTCTCCAGTTACTGGCCTTTATGTTTTGTGTTTTACCTCATGATATATTGGCTTGCCTTGGCTTATTTGCTTATTCACCCAGCTTGTACAGTACAGCAGTCCCAACCAGGTCCCCTAAATTTTATATGTATCAACATAATTCCCTCTTTCATATTTAGGCTTAAAAAGTTCAGTTATCTTTTCGAAGTCAACTACATTAAGCAGGTTTTTTTACCTGACAAAGTCACTTTTCATATATATGCATACATATATATCTCATTCAAGAACCCAGATATCCTGCTTTGATAATCCTAACAGTATTTTTTTTAAAGTATCAGAAGAACCAGCTGTTACAAGCCTGCTATGCTTTAGAGATTTGAAGGACTTGTATGTAAATCTTAATAAGTCAGCTGTAATTTGAAAGTAATTCCTTTGTGAGAATTTATATTTCTCTAAATCCTATAGAAGCTGGTTTGTTCAATAGCAAATATTGGAAATCAAACCTGGAAGAGAGCAAGATATATGAAAGTACATATTTTTCCTTCATACAGTAAATATTTACTTGATTTAAAGCATGATATTGTGRCCATTTTGGAGTTAATGTTTCTTTTATTTCTAGGGATGACTATTTGACTGTTTTGAAGAAAATGACTGTCACCACAGGGAAGCATGTAAGGCAAGACATGAAAAACCACTAGACATCTAGAAGAAAATGCACTTAAAAACAACTTTTCAAATGAACAGCTTCTTTACTTCCTAAAGTCTTTATCAGCCACTGATAAAATAATTGAAACTTATGCAATTTAATTCCGCCACTGTGGAGGTAAATCCTTTAAAAGAAGGAAACCACAAGAAAAAAAACTGATCACTTTGACAGCTGAGAAGAAATGCAACACAGAACACAGAACTGACACTTCCTTTATTTTTTTAAATATGAGATTGGAATATCACAATTTGCACAGTAATGAAATACAGATCTTTGGTCAAGAAGGGAAAAGGCAAACTCAATTTCCAATCTCCTATTGCTACCAGCTCCCAACACAAAATTCGTCCTTTATCAGAAKACAGGTATAGGATTTCAGTCCAGAGTCACTATCCAGACAACAGGCCCCTAACTCCTGAGAAATCCTTCAGAGGAACAGTGAATGCAGGATTTGGGGCTTTCATTTTTGTGCTGGGTGGTTGGTTTTTTGTTTGGGGTTTCTATGGGGTTTGTTTTCTTTTTAATACTTACTCAATGAAATAAAATCTTAAGTCAGCTGCCTGAAAAACAGATATTACCAAGGATTTTCTAAAGATTGTCAGTACACTTTATAGGCATGAAGTTTTTATTATTAAAAAGCATAAGAAGCTGAAGTGTTAGTGAAGATTTTATTGTTTTATTAAATTTAAAGTTCAGTACATTTTCATTTATGTTTTAGATGTAGGTGAAAGATGGACTTAAGAGTTCTATTGGAAATGCTGAGGACTCTATGGATTCAACTTCTACACAGAACATGTAGCTCATTATTGATCTTTTGTTCTTTTATGCACACCTACTATTACACAAGACAAGCTGCAGTCCTGGGAAGTTTATCCGAATCCTTTTTGTTTTAAACTCTTATAAATTAYCATCCAGACAACTGTTCAGAGTATTGTATGTATATGAAGATCTAAAAATCTGAATAACCTGTCACCTCTACAGAGCTCTTACGTGCCATTCGATTCTTTCAGGAAAAAAGGGCTTTCCTCTATCACTCCTTTGCATAAATGTTCTTAATTCTGTGCATGGAAATATTTATTGCTGGGTTACCTCAATACAACCTAGAAAATACTGAACCTTGGCATGGCAATGGAATGCCCTATATTCTAAAACACAGAACTATAAACYAGTTTACGATAAAAGGCAAAAATAAAAATAGTCATACAACATTAAATTACCACCGATAAATTCATTACCTCAATCTCACTGTATGAGATTCTTGTTACATACAGAACAGCTAACGAGCTTTCATCCTCTCACTAATGACTGACAATTCTATGATTAATTCCCAACAATGGATGACTTAAAACTTCATAAATGTATCAAAACAAGAAGCTCCCCTGATGCCAGCTATACCATAACTGCTGCAGAATGCTGGGCAAAATGAGAGGGCTCATTCTAACAACCTGCTAAGGTCCTTGCTCTATGCAAAATCATTTCCAGAAAAGGAGAACACTGCAGACAAGACAAAGACAAGCTGGACATTCTCCCACTGTCTACTCATCCTGCATCACCCAGCCAGTGACATGGGCATCCACCCCATTACAGCTGTGACAACTCCTTCCCTTCATTCCAGGTGTGCCAGAGCACCAGCACCTGGGTACAATGTACAAGGCAGTCATTTGGATATGTAAGGTCTCAGCATTTTCCTTCACAGTTTCAATACACAGTTTCCAAAGACTTTAGGTTTTTGCACTTGGTATTTGAACTGTAAGCCCCAACAAAATCATGGGTCAGAACACCAGTGTTCCAGAGCAACTTATTCATTCCTTTTATCCAGTGTTCTCTACCCCCATCTGTATGTCCCATTTTTAAAACTTCATTCACCTGTGGCTGGCATAATATAATTATGGGAAAAGCTGTTTCTGTAGTTCTAAGCAAAACAAACACTTGCAAAAGTTTATAAAAAGAGATTTGAAGACTATAGTTTAAGAATCTGATATGAAAATGACAAACAATGGAACATGAATAAAATAACTGAGACATTGATAGTATCAGGGTCTCATCATGGCTACAGTTACAAGTTCTTTCTCCTATGTGGCATCTCAGAGTTTGCCTTTAAATCTTCCACTGACAGTTCTTACAGCCCAACTGATTCATATCTTCTTTGACATTTTACACACACACAGAAGCCAGAATCCCAGAGCAAATTCTCACTACACCCATGCATCCCAACACACAGACTGGGTTACAGGCTTAGCTCACAACATCTCARCTTCTTCAGGAGTCACATGTCACTGTAGGTGGAACTTTCACTTGAGAATGYCTTTATAAACAAGATGGTGCATGCCACAGGCCAAATGAGTGTTAGTACTAACTCACTGCCCAAAGAGTAGGATGCAAATGCCAACTTTTAACAGACAAGTTCCCAGCAAGTCAACACTTCATTTTGAGTGTTAACTTTATAACTGGAAAGGAAGTTTCAATCCTTTATGCTTCCACAGGACACAGCATAGGCTCCTGAGAAGGGCAAGTCTAGAAGTTTATGTCATATTGAATGGTATGCCATATAGTGTTCTTGTTGTGAATTAACATCCAAAATTTGAAACACAGAACCTCTGAATATTCTGAGTTGGACACAAAAAAMCACAAGGATTATTGAGTCCAACTCTTACATGAATGGCCATACAGAAATTGAACCTGCAACCTTGGCGCTYTTAGCACCATGCTCTGACCAACTCARCTAATCTCAAGCTCAACTGGTAACTGTTCTGCAAGGACAGTRACAGCCTATCTTCCTCTAACTCTTAAAAGTTAGAAAATGAGCATAATCAAGAGTAAGTTCAATGTGTGTAAAGCATACACAGTGTCAATTACCAACCAGAGCCGCCCAACAAACCTAYACTGAAGGCTGGTTTCTCTATGGACAGGATACGTTTAGTATACAAGGTAGCATAGAAGCACTGCMTGAGCTAAGCAAGAAGAGCTATAAAAACTCTCCATGGCTTATTACTCATTTGGTCATTCCCCCATCTCCAGTAAATCACTGTTCTCTTGCTCTTCCCTAAGAAGACACCCATAAAGCACCCAAAAAGTATGAAGTTCCATTTATCCCYGTGGCCATGCAGCCTTGCAGGCAGGTACCTGTCAGAGTCCAGTACCTACTGCACAGGAGAAAATCCTCCTCTTGCACTGTGGGATAAGACATTGTGGACTCCAGGTCCAGAGCCACTTACAAAGAGAGAGGGGGGAGAAATGGGATAAACAAGACAGCAAAGAATGAATGAAAGCATGTCAAGGTAGGATGGAAGGAGAGGTACCAAGTGCAAGTGAGATAGAATTAAGGAGAATGTTAGAATAAGGAATTGTGCCAGTAGTTTTTGAGCAGTGGCTCATGTTCTACAGAAATAATGCTGGAGGACTGACATCTCAAATGAAGGTTACAATATATTCTGCAACATACGAACTCAGGAAGATACAATAAAACACACTGTAAGTACATACATCAAGTATTTTGGTATCTACATCCTCTACAGGAGAAGATAGGTTTTTTTTAACCCACATGCTATGGAACATGAAACTTTGGCATTCTGAAACAAACAAGACTGCTTTTTAGCAAGTTCTATACCATAGCAGAAGATGGAACGCTTTAATTCAAGTAAGCTTTCAGCTGAAAAATTACCTTTTCAAAAAAAGAACTGATAATTAACATAAAATAAACCCAAATATTGTTTGAGACATTTACACATTTTAGGAATAAACCCAGAACAACAGCATGAAACAGATCTTCAAGCTTCAGCTCATCATCATTAGGCTATTCCTCCTGACTTTATTCTGCATTCAGAAAATGGATAAAAACACGGAAATGGCAATACTCTAGTTCAAGCTACATCTACGATGGCAATATATTCTACACTGCCTTTTTACCAATGTGGTCACAACATACACAAACATATTCCTTCTACTCTGACTTCATGGACCAAAGCCCCAAAACACACCTTAGCACCTGTGCTTGGCAACCATGTGGCAGGCTGGTATTTGAGAAGCAAATGCTCAGAAATCCCTCTTTTTCAGCAACCTTAACTTGGTCTGCATCTCCTCCCTCAACAAATCTCTCTGCATTAAAACTCGCCATCTCCACACCACTGATCCTTCAAGTTCCTGCTGTGGTTTCATGCAAGTTACTTGAAGACTTTCTTTCAAGCCTTCATACTTCAAAAGTTATGCACCAGTTGAGATGTAGACTATGACCTTGGAAATACACTTAAAAGGTGACCAGCAGTTGAAAAGAGTATGGTAATAATTCTAAAAAATGCAGAGATTTAGATATTTGTGCAGGAAATTAGACAAACCTYCCCACAATTCCAAACAGATTGGCTACTGAAGTGAAATAGTTTTAAAACTTTATTTTACTGTACTACCTCCTAYGTAATTTTTCCCCTAAACTCAAAAGCACATCTCATTATACAAAAGGCAAGAAGCAGGATTCAAAGGTGCAATTAAAGAGTACGTCAGGGCGATCTCACTATTGGCAACGTGTTTACACACTCCACCAGGCAGAACTTGGGAATCATCATGCGCAAACTTCCTTGAACCAAAGTTGAGAAGTCAGCAGCTGCTGAGTGGGCAAACTCTTTTTACAGTCTACAGCTACATTTATCAATAATTTGTCCGCTACAATTAAGGACCCTAAAATCATGAATACCAAAGGTAAAAMGGAATTTGCAACACCCAGAAAAAATACTACTTTCAGAACTTTTTTGAAGACAAACCAATGCCTGCTGAGCAACTATAATTTAAAAATAAGCGCATTGATCACATGCCTTAAAACTTGGTAAGTCAGAGTTTTCCCTTCAGAATATCTGAAGYTCTAGAAGTAGAATCACTTCAATAAAATGTTAAGGATTATACAGCATTATTGTATGCCTATGACAAAAACAGTTTCTGGTTTGACTGGACCAAGGGTAAGCTTGGTCTCAGTCACTCCAGCCAGCCACTGTCAGTTACCTGTGCAGCCTTCACCTTAACTTTAACATACACAATGCAAAAGCTTCCAGGTTTCAGAGCTGATGCAAAGCACATGCACTTCAGCTTTTCATCATTTTTATATTTAAAGACAGAGGAGAAAGTTAGTGGGACAGCTAATGAAAGAATTTAAGTCCAATCTTTATTAGTCATCTTCACCCTTCTATTCATTCTCTATCAGAAGCAGGCTCTGTGAAACACTCAGAACACAGAGCACTATGAATTCCAATCACAAGGTGCTCCACTGGGAGAATTTAGACAAGCCGGGAAAACCTCTCATTATGTATCTCTAAACATTAACAATTCAAATTAGAAAGAATCCCGCTCTATGGCCCTGTTTTCCAACATCTGMCAGTTGTTAATAATCTCAGCCATAYCAGAGAATTCAATCAATAGGACACATTCACCCCAAATCGGGCCAGACAGAGTTGTGGCTGGTCTTAAAACTGAAAAAGTGAAAAAGCACAGTCGTAATTCTACCACTGTCACTCCTGATGATTTTAAGGTGCTCTCCCAAATCTGGAGACAACATGGTACAGTGATTGCAAGCACTATCCATGACTGGTTACTGAGATTTTCTATTCTGTATGTAATTTTCTTAGGGTTGTTTTGGAATCTGAATTGCAAAAATGAATGAAACTTCTTTTCCTATTGTGTTGACACTCCTAGTTAAAAACCATTAGATTCAGAATTAGAAATAAATGTTCATGTACAAATACACAAACACAAATATACACTTTCACAAACACAKGTATTTGTTCACACATGTGTAAACCTCCAAATAATGGAATAATTTCAAATGGACATATTTAACTTGTGAATCATGGACAAGATGTATTTAAAAGGAACATTTCCTCGCATCTAATACTGTTTACAATTCTGGAATTAATTATATGTAGCTAAACATTCCTGGGTATTCCGTTTGTTTATTTCGTTTCATGCAACTGGAAGAAAAATTATAATAGGCCTTTCTGTTCTGTCCTCTACCACCACAGAGTTTTCATTTAACATTCAAGAGATTAGAGGACTTAGTAAGGTATTCAGAAATACTTTAGTCAATTATACCAACTGTCAAGCAACTAAGTTCAAGAACTTTTTTGTGATATGACAGTAACTAAAATATCCCAATTTGCACTGTTTTATTACTGCAACACACAACTATCATAACTGTAGTGTATACTTAATGCCCAGCATTTGCACATCCCAGTGATGGACAAGAGTGAGGTAACCTCCAAGACACATTTATGCTACCTGAAACTATACTTCAATTTGACAGACAAGAGTAAATGTCATTATTTTAAATGTTGATGAAATCCTTGAGTGTYGTTTTTCCCAAAAATTAACAAAAAATCCCACTTGAGTACTTTAGCACATGACATGCAAAATGAGGCTCAAGTAGAGCTCAACTGCAGTGCTAAGATATCATCTAGTCACTACTAAGCACACACAATAGCACCAATATATTCAAATATTCCTGCTGCCTTCCAGCTATTCAAGCTAGAAACAGCTAAAAAAAAAATTCTTATCTCCAATGCTAAAGTGAAAAAACAGGTGTGTATGCCTTCACCTACAGACTTTCAGATGTATACAAATGAATTTTAAAAGCGCAAATCACACAGAAATGCCCAAACTGTTCTGAAACAGTAAAACAGGACTCCCAAAACCTTAGAAACAAATATGTCACTATGTATTTCATTGCCACTTCCACAGTAGTTATTTGGATCACAGAAATAATTGGGGGAAATCACCAATATWTTGTGGGTTATTTTTTTTTCTTTGCTAACTAGCACCCCATGAATATTTTGTTATTATCCAGTAACAGGATTCAGAGTRCAGCCACCTGATTGTACAGCTAGGTAGAGTCTCATTTGTAATCAAAACATAGGAATTTCCCAAAACTCAAGAGAAATGAAATAAAGCCATTAAARATTTGCTTCAATAATGTAGAATTATTCCTCCTCCACATGCACATCCAGACTCCCCATTTCTGGAAGTGCAGARAGAACAGTGGGAAGCAGAGAAGCAGAAGCCTTGGGACACAAAGAAGATTTCAGCCATGAGAAATAAGCCCCAAAACCAAACAAAAGATGGCATCTACAGAAGGAGAATGACAACCCACAGCCCCACAGGTGCCTCCCCACCTTGCTTGCATGTTTTTAGGGTGTCTAAACACAGTACCTTTGCCTTTTCCGGCAGTGCTGCTGCCAACCGAGGAGGATGCCTGGGAATCCTTCTTCAGTCTCTTGCTCTGAGGTCTGACGCTGGACCTGAGAAAATGATGCTGGTCCTGGCTCTGGGAGGGCTGGAGAGAGGTCGGGGCCGGTGACAAGTTGGGGTTCGGTGGGGGGCTGCTGGTAGTGTTGCTGTTAATGATCTTCTCTTCTTTCTTTGTGCTGCTGCTGCCTGGAGCTGCCTCTCCTCCTCCTCCTGCCCCTTCTTCTTCCAGGGACTCCTCATCTCCTCCTGCTCTCTTACCCAGCTTTTTCACCCCTTCGTCCCCACTGCTCTCTCCCAGTTTTACTGTCATCCTGCGGAGGAGGAGAGGRAGAAAAGAGGGGGGCACACAGTCAGGCCGGGGAGCCCCCCGGGGAGGCAGAGAAACCCCTGGGCAGAAAGGGGAGAAGTTTAGCTGCAGAAATTCCTCTCAACATGGCCGCCGTTGTTTGTTACTAAATCCCCTTTCGTTTGCTGTCCCGACCCAACAACCTGTGCCGAAGGCGGTAGGGGGAAAGCCCCGCCACAACCCCCCCAAAACCGGCCCAAACGGCAGCAGCCCCCTCCCCGGTAGCCCCACATCGCTGTCCCGAAGGGCTACGGGCCGCCTTTGGCCGAGAAACCGCCCGGCCAAACTCGGGCGTGTGGCAGCCCTCGCCAGCGCCGGCGAAGCGGCAGCAGCCAGGCCGGCGGAGCAGAACAGAGAGGGGAAGCGCTCTTTCCCCTATCCCATCCCACCCCTCCGCGGCTCCCGCGCCCGGGTCTCTCCTCTCTCCTCACCGCGGAGCCGCGGCCCGGCCCGCCGCGGGGGGGGGATCCATACTCCTGGATGCGGCGGCAGCTTCTCCTCCTGTGTGTGTGTGTCTGGGGCTGGGACTGGCCGAGGCTCCCGAGGTTCCCGCTCCCCTCCGCCCCCACCCCGCACCTCCCCGCGCTCTTTCCCGCCGGGCAGCCCCGACCCCGCCACCCCAGCCAGCGGCAGCACCATGGGCCGGGTTTGGGCTGTCACCGGGAACGGGCAGTGACCGGCTCCCCAGGCCGGCACCCCTGGCCGCCGCCTCTGCGGGGGGAGAATTAATGCCACCCCATTTTTTTTCATCCTTTTTTCTTGGTTTGTTTTTTTTTTTGGGGGGGGGGAGGTTCGATTCGGAGGGCAATAAACTCCGAAGGCACCTGCAGCAGTTGTGCATCCTTGCTTCGTTGCTCCCAGCCATGCAGACAACTTGGCCAAGCAGGGCAGCCCTGAACCCTTCTGTGTCAAGGGAGCATCCCTGGGCTCCCGAAGGCATTTGTCAACTTTCGAACCTGACAGTGGGACCAGTTGCTGGGATGACCACTAACTGTGCTGGTTTCACAAATCCCATCAATTCTGAAGGTTTTTTTCAAATACTTGGAACAAAATGCTAGATAGGGACACAAGCTTAAGGCAGCTTGAACAGTTAAAACCCAGCAATTGTTTTCGTTTTTTCTAGAGTGTAAAAATATTACTGACACCACATGTAAAGGAAATCAGCTTTCAAGAAGGAACCAGTTAGTGCACCCAGCAAGGAGCAGCACTTGGAATTCAGCKGCCTTGTCACCATGACAGGAACTACCATCCAACTTCCATCTAGGGAAAAGATAACCAACAAGACGAGGAAATTCTGAGTGTCACAGAAAGACTACGGATTAYGCTGACATCAGGATAATGAGGTTCAAAATAAAAATGCATCAACATAATAAGGCATACAAACTCATGAGGTTATTGTATATGGGTTGTATTCCTATTATTAAAATGATGTTTTTCTTCTAATTTTCAGCTAAACCACTGAAACAATCCAGAACTGTGGTGGGCAAATTCTCACTCTTTGCAAATGCWCAATAAACTGATCTGAACTGTGGATATAAACTCATACTGAAATTTGGTTATTTAGTCACCTGAAAGGTTCCTTGCTACAGACTGGTTCTGCACACACCAAAACCTACAGTTTCTTGTTGTTTTGAGGACAGAAATCTCCAAATTCTGACAGTGTGCTCAAAAACTTCGTGTATGCAAGGCTTAAATAATTTCAAGCTTGGTTTTATTACTACAAATTAAATGATGCACCCACCCACAAACGATGCATCTACCGACAATTAGTGGGAGGGAAACAAAGACACACTCCTTGGGGACAGCTCCCTACAGGACCCGAGTAGCACACCCCAGGATCTGCCCCACTTCTCAACTGCTGGCTCCTAGCATTTTGCCTAAGACCTCCGGCAGCGCCCTACGTGCAGTTTCCCCGTTACAGCTGCTTTCTCCTTTCGTTTTCACCTTGTTCTTCCTTTCCTTTTTTCTCCCAAAGTGGAAATCTCCTCAGCCTCGATGCTTTGGTCGTCCACACCCTCGTGGCTGTTCCTCCGCTGCCTCCCGTAAGAGCCGCAGAGATGGGTCTCCCAAGGCGGCCAGCCCGGTCGGTCTCCCGAGGGCCAGGTACGGTCCCTCCCCGCAGGTTCCATCCCCCGCCCCTGCCTCACCTGCCGCATCAATGCTGTCGCGCAGCCTCCGCGCTCCGGTTCCCCCGCCGGCGGCTGCCTCAGCTGCTCCGGCACCCGCAGCCCCAGGCAACCCTGGGCTGCGCCCAGACCCGCCAGCTCGGGAGGCGGCCGGCGCGGAGCCCAGCGGCCCTCCCAGTTTTGCTGGCGGCGGCAGCCCCGCTCCCGGCTGTGGGGCGGACTTCTTCCCCGGGCTGCTACGAAACCCAGCTGCGGTCCCAGCACCGCCAGGCTGGGCCAAGCTCGGGGCCGTGCCGGGCTCGGGCCGAGCTGGAGCCACGGTGGTTCCGGTTCCTCCTCGCCCTGCCCGGGTCGGGGGTGGAGCCGCGGCGCGCGGATCCAGCTGAGCGCGCCGGCGCTCCCCGCCCCCTAAACAACTCGCCCTATTGGACGGAGGCGAGCGGGAGCGAGGCGGGGGCGGGGCCGCGGCGCCGGCTCGAGCCAAACAAAGCGCGGCGCGGGGCGCGTGACGAAGGCTCCGCGCGGAGGAAGAGGCGGCAGCGCGTGTCCGCCAGGGGTGGGGCAAAKCCCCCCGAGATCTGGCTGTTGATTGGCTGAGAGAAAACCTAATGGAGAGCGCTCTAGCCGAGCCCTTGGGATGGGCTCCAGGATTCCATCGGTCAGCGAGTGGGCGGGCGGTTTGCAGGCGATGCAGTGCTTGTGGCTGCCGGGCGAGGGGGCTGCGGCTCCGCGCCGCTCCGCCGGGCTTCTCGCAGCGCTCGGAGCTGCCTCGGCGCTTAGGGCTGCCCTGTGCCATCCCCGGCTCGCCTGGAGCAGACTAGCGGAGCTGGGCCCCGCCACCTGGCCACACCGTATCGGGGCGGCAGTAGCGCTGACTCTCGCTCCCTTTGCCGGGACCCCGGGGAAAGCTGTGGAGCCACTCTCCATGGGGCAATTGGAGCTGCATCTGGGAACASGAGTCCTCCGTCAGGCCCTTCGCATCCATCTTTTGGCAGCGGGGCTCCTGGATGTTGACTGATACTTTTATGTGGTATGATACATATAGTCTATATCAAAGACAAAATRCTTATGAAGCCTATTAATTGAAAACTTTCTATACYCTTTTTATACGTTAYCARTATAAAAATGTAATAACTTTTTACATATTATTAAAAGACAATGTAATAACTTTCAAAATATTATCAATAATAGCTTATATATATATGGCTATAAGTTTTTTAATAGTATATTAGCAGCATATAGTATATCAGCTGCACGTAATTTAACCAGCTGGATTAGTGCATAGATACGTGAAATCAATAAGAGGCATAAATCAGAAAAGTTCTGAAGAAAGTAAACAAGTAGATGCTATAAASAAAAAACAGCAGAAAACACTAATAAGAACTTAGCAAAAACACGAGGCAGTCAGCAAAATAATTAGAAATTAGACTTAAAAGACTAAAAAAAGCCCCATAGACATCACAACTGCGTATGCCCTAAAGACAAAAGTTAAAAGTCCACCGTGATGAAGAAGATAATATCTCATTAGGAGACCTGTGCAACCACCAAATTGAAGATAACACATGTGCACTTGTAAAACTATGATATCATGTATTTCCGTGCCCATGTATAATGATGAGTATATAGTGAGCATATGGAGAGCAGTGACAATGTTCATGTTACACCGTTCTTACTGTATAAATATGTGCTAATTTGAAGCAAAGGCAGGTGAGTTAAGAAGAAAAATCCCCCTCACCTCCAGCGCTACACCAGCGCTGCAATAAACAAATACCTGCTCTATAGACACTTGTCTATAGAGTTTTAATTCCAAGCCTTTTTAAAGCATCAGGTCACTTTACKTTAACTGCTAACAAAGATAATTTTTTTAAATTTTACAATGGTACTGTGCAAGATACTTTTTCCCTAATAACATGTTTGTGGAAAGAACGTTAGATCATCCTCTTTTTTAGTCTTCATAACTCATAGCAGGAAAAAAAAGCTCTAGTCCTCTTCTGAGGAAAATCTTTGTAAACTTACAAATAAAGTAATAACTATTTAAACCTCATGATAGTATCTAAATTATGGAAGATTGGGCTCCCACTGAGTGTGTTGCAAGTAATTCTCTATGATGGTAGAACTGGAACATGTTTTGACAAATGTGGTATCACCCACAAATATGCTGTAAAGTGTATTTGTGAGTAAACAAATGTACTGCTAGAAATGGAATTTGTTTTTAAAAATGGTTTGTGTCTCCAGTGCTGGGCTTTGCTTTTCAATCTACATCTTAATTGTTCAGGGGATTTTTAAAAGACAGTATTTTTTAGTTTTGTTATAATCTAGYACAAGATCACATGGCTTATTTTTGCTCCTTGATTTGGCCACAACCAAATTCAACAATACTGTTAGGAAATKATGGATTCTGCATCTCCTCTGCCATGTATTTCCATGGTGCTTTGCCATGAGATGTGAACCACAGAGATGTGGAGCTATGTTCAGCTCTCCAGTTGAAGGTTTCCATTCTCTCTGTATGTAAATAACTTYCCATGCTTGAATAGCCCCATTGCTTCCAGTGGACTGTTCAGGTATGAAATTGCTCATGTGTGTAAATATTTGTGAGACAAAGGCTGACTGAAAAGGAGTTGGACAAGAGCTGAAAGGCAGGGGGGTAGGGTGAAATGTCAAAAGGTATTTGAACTTCCTTTTGTTCAATTTTGATCACGGACCCTCCCTCTTATTCTGCTTTTGCAGACTGGCATACCTATAAAATGCAAATAATCTTCCAGTGTTTGTTGCCATGGTTTTCTAGGCCAGGCAAGAACATTAACTCGGATTTGTCCTTTAAAATCCTGTGTATTTTAAGGTATGAATACAAAATTGCATTTTTATTAGAAATAGGGCAAGCAATGCAGAATGGTCCAGCAGGACAAAGTTAATACTTATTCTTACTTTAACACTTGTGTTAAAGCATCATGCATCTAATGTGCATGATCATTGCTAATTATAACATGGAAATACTTTTCCAAAGATGCTAGATGTAAAAGCCACCAATATAGTGGATGTTCTCTATTTTCCTTGTAGATTGTTTAGATGCTACTACATTTCTTTCATAATTAATTTGTTCTTAAAAGGCTCTAAGGCTGTTTATTCTGGCAAACATAATGAATGATCTTTGTGTTGCTAAAGCAGTTATTTCCCTTGCAGGTAAGAGGTTTTAAATGTAAGGACAGACTGCTGTTGTTAATCCCTTACTGCTTACAGAATAGGAAGCACCTACTCATACAACTTGGATTTTGTTTTGGTGTGTGAGGTCAAGCCCTTACRTGAAGGAAGGAAATGGGCTGTGAGCAACTGCACTACAGCAGCCAGTTCTGGGACTTTAGAGACTAGGAGCTGTTAGGCATCTTTTATGATACCAGGGGCTTGGAACTACATGATCTTTAAGATCTTTTTCAACCCAAATCATTCTGTGGTTATATGATTTKATGAGTAGTAGAAAAGATGTTAAGATCCTAGGATTTCACATTCATTTGTCTATTTAGGATAGAAGCAGGGCTTCTCTGTTGAAACTGAAGAACAGGAAAATTTAATTTCCTAAGTCTGCGCAAGTACGGATATGTAGTTTCGTGATTGGGGAAAATTTTGTGCAACATTSAACCAGCCAATTCTAAGAGCTGTAAAGTGGTCACTTGAGGAGAGGCAGTCAGTGGGTTATTTAAATTACTTTTATTCCAGCCCAGAAAGGGATGATTGACTACATGATTGTTTGGGGCTACAKCTGGTTGTGTATTTCTGACTTGATTGTATCACCTCTTTGTAGCAGTTTCCACGATAGCCTGGTTGTCTGAGAAAACAAGGCATCTGCACATAGTTTGCTCAAATCCTCAAATTCCAGTCTGATGAAATCAAGGCTACAGTGAGAGCAATCAGCTGGGCAGAGGCAAGAGATGAATTGCTGACTCTGCTCTGTGAGTGGTACCTGAGTGAGYTAATGGAGCTATTGCTTGTCCAAGGCTCCACCATGAAGCAATGCCATAAATGAYTGCTAGAGCTGATGCTTTGTAAAGGAGAAGATGAAAAGCTCCAGGAAACAGGACTTGGTTAGTTCTTTTGCTCTGGTCTACAGGGATTGCTGATTGTATCAAGAAGGTCTAAAGTCAGTGTTTTGTCTGTCTGCCTGAAGCCTGCCCATAGTTTTGGAAAACATAMAATGTGTTTCAATGCAGTGTGCCTCTCATTGAGTACTTTTTCCTACTTGCTAACAAAACAGGATTTTTAAATTTTTTTTTTGTTTGTTTCAGAAGAGTCCCTGTGTATTTGGGAGAGGAAACTGATAAACACTATGTGAATTACATGTTACACATGGCCAGTCAACCCCACAGCATTGATGACTGAAAAAGGCCTAGAAATAAAACCCCCATAGACCGGTGTCTATAGAGCAGGTATTTGTTTATTGCAGCTCTGGTGTAGCACTGGAGGTGAGAGGGATTTCTCCTCCTAACCCACCTGCCTTCGCTTAGAATTGGCAGGTATTTATACAGTAAGCATGGTCTAACATTACTATTGTCACTATGCCCACCACTATATATGGGCACGGAAATACACGATATCACAGTTCTGCAAGTATGCATGTGTCATGCTCAATTCGGTGGTCGTGGGGGTCTCCCTCTAAAGAGATACCATCCTCTTCATCATGGTGGACTTTTCACCTTTGTCTTCAGGGCATACACAATGTGATGTTCATTTTTTTTTTCCAGTCCTCCAGGTCTTCATGCTTCATTTTTCAGCTGATTGTCTTGTGCCTCTGCCAAGTTCTCATCAGTGCTCTCTGCTGTTCCTCAGTATAACATCTACCTGTCTACTTCTTCAGAACTTTTTCTGATTTATGCTCCTTGGCAATTTTATGTGTCCACATACTAATCCAGCTGGTTAGATTACATCCAGCAGATACACTGTATGTTACTAGTACTCTATATAAAAACTTATAACAATATATGGTAAGGCTAYTGATAATATATTGAAAGCTATTACATTGATATATGTATATTGATAATATATAAAAAAATCATAGGCCTCATAAGCACCTTGTCATTTTGACATAAACCACAGGTATCAGCATGCAGGAGCTGCTTGTCATAGTTTACCAGGTGTGGCTGCTTTTCATCTGTTTGCATAATGTTGTGACTKCAGAGGAATTACAAATGACTGTGGACAGGACAGTGCTGTGAGGATTTGGTCTTGAATTTCTTCAACCATTTTGAAGGTGTTAGGCCAGCCTGGCTGTTAGGCGTGGCTGCAGGCCCAGCTGTACCTGACATTGGTTGTTGGTGGGATGCTGAGGAGGTGCAGGGTGGTAGGAGGGCTTTATGGGCTGTCTTCACATGCATGTTAGTAGAAAAACTTGATCATTAAGTTACAAAGTTACCGAACCACTTTCCCCCCAAAAAGTCTGAAAGAGCCGCCGAGCTTCGGGCCATACAATTACATATGGTTATGATATGCGTTATATCAGGGAGCTTCAGCCTGGTTCAGGCTCTGTCATAGCGGGTGTTTGGTAGCGTTGCTGGCCGGGAAGGTTTGGGGAAAGATCTRGATTCTCGGGGCAGCAGCACAGTCCATCAGCTGCGATAGAAAAAGTTCCTAACAGGACACTTCATCAAATCCTGAAGAGCGCTCTGAGMCCGGAGCGCAGCGCAGGTATGAGGGGGCGGTCTCACTCGCCGGGACGCGCTGGGCCGCCGCTCGCTACTTCCGCCTCTTTCCGTGTGCCGCCGGGCGGCTTCGGCCATTCCCGCTACTCCTCGGGTCCGCTCGGCAGTTTCCGYTCGGGGCTCGCCCAGTTGTCGGGGTAACGCAAAGCATCGCGGAGCGAGTGTGGCCTGCGGCGCGGGCGGTGAGCGCGGAGACGGGAGAGCGGGCGGCGGACGCTGCCCACGAGCGGGGTAGAGCGGGCGGCGGGCTCTGCAGTCTGCCGGCTCTCCGCAGTAGCGGGGTCGATCGCGGTCAGCCGGAGGTGAGGGGCGCTTGGGCTGTTGCCCGCGGGCGGCTGGATAT